GTTTCTCCTTCTTTTAAACAAATACTTTTGACCCACCAACTGAGATGGCCGCAGCGTCTATCTGACAGATGAGATTCGTCCCAGATATTATCTTTTATCCCTATTTTAACCCTTCCTGACCAACGCTGTGGTTGTCTTCTGCTGGTCCAGAAGTGAAGCGTGGAGCTTTTCCCGCTGGCTGGGAAGGTGCAAGGGGGCGGCGGTCGCTCGGCTCCCGCGGTCGCAATAGGCCGAGCGGCGCTGAGCTGCGAGGGCCGTCAATACCGCTCGCGGTTTTAATTAGTACTTTTATTTTGAAAAGCATAGAGACCCACACATGACCAGTGGGTGGCAGTATACTTTATATTAATGACACCAGAATCAAAGACAAATTAATTTGACCATTTGTATTCCATTAAATTTAGAGAATCTCATTAGAAAATCAAACCCTGGAAGAAAAGTGGGTCAAATCAAATTGGAGGGGAATTTCTAAAGACTTAAAAGAAAGTTTTGCTTGATAAAGGTAATGGGTTAAAATATAGTTTACAACGAATAGATAAGATGCGAGAAGCTATTGAAATCAGTGTCTGGGAAGGCAACGCTAAACAATGTTTTCATTCCTGATTTTAATAGAAACCAACAGTCACTACTTATTTTAGGTTCTCATGGAGATTGCTCCTGATTTGAGGAGGATCAAATCAAAATGTTGCCTCCCATTATTCAGTTTTGGTTCCGTGCACACTCAACAGGTATCTGCACTCATGGTTCACACCTGGAGAGTTATGACGAGTGTAGAACCTTTGCAGTAATCCATTTCTTTACATCTTTATTTTAGTCTGATTTAGGAACACACTCCAATGCACAATGACAGCAAGGATTTTTGTAAGCTTTGGTTTCATCAAGATAAGTAAATAGCAGATTTCTTTACTTGTGTTATTAAGAATAAAAACAATGATGTTTTTCTCTCCTGTATTAAGCCAGAAGACATTCTTAGTTCCATGTATTAATATTGAACACTCAGGGATGCATGTCATGAGGACCTGTGCTCCTAAGCTGTGTTAAATCAAAACAAACACTGAGGCATTTTTTAGTACTACATAATCTGAGATCCAATAACAGAGCCTTGAGGAATCCCCTATATGATCTCTGTTTGCTCTATTTTTAATTGTCCAACTAGTCCCTGCCTACCAATGAGCATTTGAATGAGTTTTGATTGAATGTAAGGAATGCAACACTGAGATCCGGTGAAACCAGGTGAGGCAGGATGTGATGTCTGACCAGCTTTAATTTTTAACAAAAAGTTTAAGAATAATTAGTATTTAAAGTTGATTTAGACAAGTGTGAGTTATGGTTTGCATTACATTGTTCACCAAAACTTAATATCCACACAAGATCTTAAGTGATATGATCCTCTAAATTCAGACCATTATTTAAATAGTTTTTTCCAGGTAAAATCTATTGTAATAAACGGTTACGGTACACACATCTATTAAACTGGACCACATGGACATAGTTCTTGATCAATTACCCATGTGCCTTGTAGCATTTCAAAAACAGTACATGCAAATTGTCTGAGCAGTTAAACAAAGATGGAAAACACTTCCCAGCTTTACATTCAGAATGAAACATACGGTTCAAATTGAACCAGCTTTCCTGGCTCAGAGCATCAGGGTTCTCAGCATATGATGGAAGTGAGAACAGGGCGCTGTGGGAGACTTTTCTCTCCTTTCTGCCTCCATCCGGTCCTTGGAACGTGTTTGATCATGTTGTGAAGCTGCTGATTCTGAACCAGTCTCATATCGGAAACAGACGCTTTGTGTCAGAAACTTTTCCACGGCAGACTTTTTTTATTTTTTATTTGTGTGCACACGTAGAACACATGTGATAAGCGAGACCTTTTCATCACAACCCTGTTGCAACGTCACAGCCTCATATTGTGGTTAAAATAATAAACAAACATCATTACAGGGGTATAGCCTGTGACAAAATCAAACCATTATGGAACATTGTACTGACCTATTTTGTACTCAGAAGGTCTACAACAACTTCAACCATAGGTGGATCGGTTACAGCTTTCTGACCAATCACCAGTCTTTAAAAAGCCTGATATGCAGAATCTGGTTTTGATTGATTTGTTTTTAAACTTCCTCTGTCAGTTTGTAAAAGATCACAAACACCTTGAATATTTCAATACTCTCATAATGTAAATCCAAAGTTTAGATTGTTGACAGAGGGGGATTCTCAGACCTTTAGAGAAAGAAATAAGACAGATGGATAAGATATATGTTGCATCAGTATCAGCGTATCAGCCCAAGTTCAATCAGGTGGTACAACCCCTAACTAACACTGCTGTTTAGCATTATTAGATCTGTCAAACAGAAGTGATTATCCAGGATGTGATGGCTGCCAGTGTGTCTCATTCCATGCTCAACCAATAATGGATGGCCTGATCAGACATTTGCATGATTGCTCTCATTCCGTCCATCCGTCCGTCCATCCATCCATGCATCCTTCTCATTTTTGTGTTTTACATTTGCATGCATATAACAACTGAGCAATAAATTGCTTTTGCAATATAATCGCAATTTAGCAAAAATACAATTTTAACATCGCAGAGGCACTCAATTTTAGTCACCATACATTCAACAAGAGTAAGACACTAAATTCCTTCCTTTGTTGGCGGTAATGCATTTAAACCACCTAGATCTATACATTATAATAGAAATAAGATCTTTTATATGTAAAGCAAAGTCCAGCAGCACTGGATTCTGGACAAGTAGGCTTTCAAGGTCATAGAAAAACTGAAACCCTGGAGTAAGTCATTAAAATGGTTTTGCTTGGTGCAAAGAGAAATCACAATAGCAATATTGGTTGAAAATATCGCAATTTTGATGTTTTGCTCTTTCAGCCCTAGTACATAATTTTCTGCATAGATTTTTCTTAAACTGTCTTAGTTTTTTATCCATGTAAAAAGGTAAGAAGTTTAAGGTTGTAGCTGCAACTCTTAAGTCTTAACTGAGTCTCTCTAAGACTCTATTAAATACATAGAATAATTTTATTCTTTATAGGCATCCGCAAAGTCGCTCCTCGAGGGCCGCTGTCCTGCAGGTTTTAAAGGTTTCCCTGCTTCTGCACAGCTGATTTTCATTGATTGCTGATTAACAGGCTTTTGCTGAACTGCAATCATCAGAATCAGCTGTGCTAAAGCAGGGAAACCTCTAAAACCTGCAGAACAGCAGCCCTCGAGGACCGAATTTGGGGATGCCCACTTTATACCTTTGTTTTAGGTGTTGCAATAAGGTTGAATATGTTTTATGTATTTTTTAAATTCATTCACAATTATTGCTCTCATTACACATATGCCTCTCTCTGCTGTATGAAACGACTTTACTCATCCTTTTTTGGACAACGTGACAGCGAGCACACACTCTCACATTTGGTGTGGTTCTGTCAGGGTTGGGCCCAAACCAAAACCCGAGCGTCAGCTGCAGGCCTCCACTCTAGATGGTTCCAACAGACCCCGGAGTCCGAGTCACAGAGTTCAGATAAACACTGTCCCTTTAAGAGCTGCCCTTGGAGCCCCGGCCTGTCTGCCTGTGTGTCTGTGTTTTCGGTACAACAGCCCAAAACATTCTCCCTTTTCTGCGCTGCAACTAGAGCGTTACGCTGGAGAGACAGAATATATGTTTTTCTTCCCCTTGTGTGGGTGGCGCAGAAAGACAACACATCCTTGAATTTGTCTTATTATTCATTGTTTTGAAGCGCTCATTACTACTGGCTTTCCGCTCTGTCATAATGATGAAGATAAACAATGAGTCGGTTTTCGATCGGTAGGAATTTTGTAAGAGTTTTAAGGTTACAAACACGGGACAGCAGAGCTGAAACTGGGAGGCTCTCATGTCTTTATACTAGATGTCACTGGGAGGACAGCGTAGCAGTAAGAGGGGGAAAGTCGGCCCAGGAGAGAGGATTATAATGGGAGTTTCATAAACAGAATTTAAAGCATGAAGAGATTGCAACCAGCAGCATATGTATAGATTACATGTTCCCCCCATGAACAACAGGGCCCTTTGTACGCTTCGTTCCCCATGTGCAGGGGCTTTAAAAGAGGTGACTTCACCGGCTTCTGCCTGATGCAACTGTATTCAGTTAGAGGTTTTGGAATCTGCTAGCCTCCATAAACTCTTTAAATATGCTTTGTCAACTATAGAAAATGTCAGTCAGTTTTATGGTTTTAGAGTGAAATAAAAAAAAAAAAAAAAAAAAGCCATCTAATTACATCTCAAATAAATATTATCTTTCTGAATTTTATCTCCTAGAGAGACATTTTAATGTAGGTTCCAAGAAAAGATGGATTTAGAAATCCTATTGAGGGGATTTTCAAGGATGCAGTGCTTGTTTGTGAATGAAGCACCAGGTCTTCTCTTTAGATGTGGCTTTTGTGAATGAATTTCCTAAGAGGCACTATCAAGGCCTCTTTGCTGCATGTGAGCATGATTTCGTGCAGAAACGCACGCTTTGCCGGGAGAGGACGTCACAGTGCGAGCAGAGACAAAGCAGCCCCTTTAGGGAGCTGCGGCTGCGTTGTTTGGGTATGTCTGTGATTATGCTCTCTTTGATCATTCGCATCGGTCGCCTCGGTGCAAATAAACATCAAGGAGGAACAGATGTGAACGAGAGTGAGTAAAATGGTGAGTTTATAGGCTCATTATGGCAATTATCTGATTGCTTAAGAGAAACATTCACTTTTGAATTGTGATCTGATTTTTTTTTCCAGCAGCTTGAGAATTTGTTTTGATATCCACCTGTTTTTTTTTCCTATACAACCTTGAATTATTTTGTGTTTTACTGTAATTTAATGTGTTGAAGCAAAACATGCAGCATGATTGTAGTGGGGGAAAAAAAGGGAAAACAAATGTCTAGAAGGTTTTAACACCCTTTTCCTGACACCCCTAAATAAAAGCCTACATTTCCGTTGCATTTTCAGCTCTAATGTAGAAACTGCATCTGTTTTTGTTTAGGTTGACCTGTGAACCTTGTGCAGGCCCCTGTCCTAAAGCGTGCCAGGGAAATAAGACGATTGACTCTGTTACTTCAGCCCAGGCCTTAAGAGGATGCACCGTCATTGAGGGCAACATGGTTATCAAGATCCGAGGAGGGAGTACGTAGATTTACATGCTGTCCCCCCTGCTGAGCCTACTGTAACGGCTCCACACGTTCTAGTTTGGATAATTGTCACTAACTGGCTGCATCCTCAACTGTCCCTCTTCTTACAGCTAATATTGCGGCTGAGCTTGAAGCTAGCCTGGGACAGATCGAGGTCATCAAAGGTTACCTTAGTATACGGAGGGCCTACGCGTTGGTCTCCCTCTCATTTTTGAGAAAACTACATACTATTAAGGGAGAGCAATTTGACTCAGAGTAAGTACTCTTTCTTCCACCTTTCATTTCGGTGAGCTTTTTTAATTCTATTTTTTTCACTCTGTGATTAATCCCCTGTCTGCTCTGCATTTCTCCATCAGTCACTATGCCTTTTACGCACTGGACAACCAGAACCTCCGGCAGCTGTGGGATTGGTCCAAGCACAACCTGACGATCGAGCGAGGCCGCACCTTCTTCCACTTCAACCCTAAGCTTTGTATGTCCGAAATCAAGAAGCTGGAGGAGGTAACAGGAACCAAGCAGCGCAACATGAAGAACGATATCGCTGCTCGCACCAACGGAGACCAAGCATCCTGTAAGAACCTCGGAAATTACACAACAGATCAGATTTAGATCTGGACTTTAACTATGCCACCCTAAAGTCAAACCATATCTCCAATGCTCCAGCTTTATTCTTAGTTTTTGATCAACCTGTAGCAGATTTCTTCCCTCCTAGATTAACTTGATTTATGCTCCATCTTCTCTCCTGAGGAAAAACAGCCCATGATTAATCATGAGAATGATATTGATTGATTGACCGACATTACTGATCTCAGGCATGGGGTATATACAGTTTGTCTATATATATATATATATATATATATATATATATATATATATATATATATATGTAGATATATATATGTATATATGTATATATATATATGTATATATATATGTAGATATATATATGTATGTATATATATATATGTAGATATATATATGTATATATATATATATGTATATATATATATATGTAGATATATATATGTATATATATATATATGTATATATATATGTAGATATATATATGTATATATATATATATATGTATATATATATATGTAGATATATATATGTATATATATATATGTAGATATATATATGTGTATATATATATATGTATATATATGTATATATATATATATGTATATATATATATGTATATATATATATATGTATATATATATATATGTATATATATATATATGTATATATATATGTAGATATATATATGTATATATATATATATGTAGATATATATATGTATATATATGTATATATATATATATGTATATATATATGTAGATATATATATGTATATATATATACATGTAGATATATATATGTATATATATATATATGTAGATATATATATGTATATATATATATATGATTACAAATGACAACAAATGAAAATCTCAAATTCATCATATCAGAAAATTAGAATATTGTGAAAAGGTTCAAAATTGATGGCCCCTGGTGCCACACTCTAATCAGCTAATTAACTCAAACCACCTGCAAAAGCCTTTAAATGGTCTTTCAGTCTAGTTCTATAGGCTACACAATCATGGGGAAGACTGCTGACTTGACAGTTGTCCAAAAGACGACCATCGACACCTTGCACAAGGAGGGCAAGACACAAAAGGTCATCGCTAAAGAGGCTGGCTGTTCACAGAGCTCAGTGTCCAAGCACATTAATAGAGAGGCGAAGGGAAGGAAAAGATGTGGTCGAAAAAAGTGTACAAGCAAGAGAGATAACCGCACCCTGGAGAGGATTGTGAAACAAAACCCATTCAAAAATGTGGGGGAGATTCACAAAGAGTGGACTGCAGCTGGAGTGAGTGCTTCAAGAACCACCACACACAGACGTATGAAAGACATGGGTTTCTGCTGTCGCATTCCTTGTGTCAAGCCACTCTTGAACCACAGACAGCGTCAGAAGCGTCTTGCCTGGGCTAAAGAGAAACAGGACTGGACTGCTGGTGAGTGGTCCAAAGTCATGTTCTCTGATGAAAGTAAATTTTGCATTTCCTTTGGAAATCAAGGTCCCAGAGTCTGGAGGAAAAGAAGAGAGGCACTTCATCCACGTTGCTTGAAGTCCAGTGTAAAGTTTCCACAGTCAGTGATGGTTTGGGGTGCCATGTCATCTGCTGGTGTTGGTCCATTGTGTTTTCTGAGGTCCAGGGTCAACGCAGCCACATACCAGGAAGTTTTAGAGCACTTCATGCTTCCTGCAGCTGACCAACTTTTTGGAGATGCAGATTTCATTTTCCAACAGGACTTGGCACCTGCACACAGTGCCAAAGCTACCAGTACCTGGTTGAAGGACCATGGTATCCCTGTTCTTAATTGGCCAGCAAACTCTCCTGACCTTAACCCCATAGAAAATCTATGGGGTATTGTGAAGAAGAAGATGCAATACACCAGACCCAACAATTCAGACGAGCTAAAAGCCACTATTAGAGCAACCTGGGCTATCATAACACCTGAGCAGTGCCACAGACTGATCGACTCCATGCCACGCCGCATTGCTGCAGTAATACAGGCCAAAGGAGGCCCAACTAAATACTGAGTGCTGTACATGCTCATACTTTTCATGTTCATACTTTTCAGTTGGCCAACATTTCTATAAATCCTTTGTTTTTATTGGTCTTCAGTAATATTCTAATTTTCTGATATGATGAATTTGAGATTTTCATTTGTTGTCATTTGTAATCATCAAAATTAAACAAAATAAACATCTGAAATATATGAGTTTGTATGTAATGTATGAATATAATATACAAGTTTCACTTTTTAAATGGAATTACTGAAATCAATCTACTTTTTCATGATATTCTAATTTTATGACCAGCACCTGTATATATGTATATATATATATGTATATATATATGTATATATATATATGTATATATATATGTATATATATATATGTATATATATATATGTATATATATATATGTATATATATATGTATATATATATATGTATATATATATGTATATATATATATGTATATATATATGTATATATATATATGTATATATGTATATGTATATATGTATATGTATATATGTATATGTATATATATATATACATATATGTATACGTATATATGTATATGTATATATATATATGTATATGTATATATATGTATATATATATGTGTATATATGTATATGTATATATATATATATATATATGTATATATATATATGTATATATATATGTATATATATATGTATATATATATATGTATATGTATATATATGTATATGTATATGTATATATATGTATATGTATATGTATATATATGTATATGTATATATATATATATGTATATATATATATATATGTATATGTATATGTATATATATGTATATGTATATGTATATATATGTATATGTATATATATATATATGTATATATATATATATATGTATATGTATATATATGTATATGTATATATATGTTTATGTATATATATATGTATATATGTTTATGTATATATATATGTATATATGTATATGTATATATGTATATGTATATATGTATATGTATATATATGTATATGTATATATATATATGTATATATATATATGTGTATATATATATGTATATATATATATATGTATATGTATTTGTGTGTGGACATACTGTATATACTGTATAAAATGGGTATTTATATAGATAGTTATTGCACTGGGCATTAAATATAAAACAGGTTATTGCACAGGGTATTAAATAGTAATTGCACATTCGTTTTTGCACAAGTTATTGCAGTTATAGTGTCTCATTGTAAAGTGGTGGCAGCAGATACTAAGGGAGTTTTGTCTTTTTTTCTTGATAACATTTAAGATCAACTTTGCTCTTATCTTATTTTTCCTCATGTTGCTGTTAGTCATATATAGAAATATATAGATTTTGAAATATGTGATTATTTTAATAAACCCCCCCCCCCCCAAAAAAACACCTTAGCTCCTTTTTAATCAAACTTTCAATACATCCATATTAGGGTTAACTAGGGAAAAGAAAGATGTTTACTGTGCTGAGTGTTTTAGGTGTTCAACCTTTTACTGATCCCTAACTTTTCTGTCTTTTAGGTGAGATGAAGCTGTTGAACTTCACTCAGATTAAGGTTAAGTCTAACATGATCATTCTGAAGTGGCAGGCGTACTGGCCGTCGGACTACAGAGACCTGCTGGGATTTATGGTTCTCTACAAAGAGGCGTAAGTGGAAGTTTTTTTTATTATTTAACCATATTTACTAAAATTTAATTTGTTGATCAGTGACCTTCACATAGTTCTACAGGACATTTTTTTACCAGTAACTTCAACAGATTATGAGCTGCTAATCTCATCTGGTTATTGGATTCTGAATGGCAAACAAAGTCACAAGGTTCTACATTGATGTAAAAGAAATATAATAGAAAATATTATTTAACGATATAGCGTAAATGCAAAAATATAAAGTTGAACAGCTTGAGACAAAAAAAGCAGCTCCCCTCACTGACCTTTGCAGGATCACGTCTGCCATGTTGCAGCTATTCATGTATTTAAATTTTTTTAGCAGATCCTGCTAATGTTAAGACTTTCTGTTTGTTTGGACATCCTGCTGATTAAGACATAATCCAAACAATATTTGTAAATTTAGGTTTCTTTCTCTTTTTTTTTTTTTTTTTTTTAACCATGTCAAACACAGCCCGTACAAGAATGTGACCGAGTTCGACGGACAGGACGCGTGCGGCTCAAACAGTTGGGTAATAGCTGACGTCGACCCTCCGCCTCGCGCCACAGATGGAAAGAAGGCAGAAGATCCAGGCTACCTCATCCGAGCATTAAAACCCTGGACCCAGTACGCCATCATGGTGAGAACCCAGCTGTCTGCGTCTGACGAACATCAGGTTCACGGAGCCAAGAGCGAAATCATTTATGTTCGCACAAACGCCTCAAGTAAGTAAAACCTGACTTTATTTAATATTACAAAATCTGTGAATATATATAAACTAACTAATATAGACAAAACCATTGTACTTTATAGTTTTGATGAGTAATTGTGATTTAAATATTTTTTACAAACTGTAGCATAACAGCTGTGTCTTTTTGACGTATTAAACTATTAGGGATTAGATAATGCTCATATGCTAAGATTAACAAACTGTAAAACTGTCTGCTAAAAATGAAGCAAGGAAAGAATCACATTGTTGATCAGTGAAAGCCTTTGTAAAATTCTGCACAACAGTATGACTCTGCAGATTGTTTTCATCCTGTGCTGTAATGTTAACGATAAATTAAAGATCAGATTAGGTGTTAACGAGATGTGTCCCACAGCGTGGGCCTGATCTTGCTTATTAAATTTAAATCCTATCGTACTCAAATTGATGATGATTTTGCTCTAAAAAAACATTTATTACCCACCACTGCCTAAAAAACTATTCAAAGCAGGACTTCTTTCTTCATTTTTGGTAAAACACCAAACTTCCACTATTTAAAACAGGCAAATGTGTTAGATTATCCTGTCTGTTAATGAATTGTTTTTCCTAGATCTGTGTAAAGACCTCATCTTGTTTTCTTTATTAGTTCCGACTAAATACCATCTCTTATCTCTTTTAGGACCTTCTGAACCTCTGGACCCCATCTCCTCCTCAAACTCCTCCTCTCAGATCATCCTGAAGTGGAAGCCTCCCACCAGTCCCAACGGAAACATCACCCACTACCGAGTGGTCTGTCTTAAGCAGCAGGAGGACAGCGACCTCTACAAGTTTGATTACTGCCTACAGGGTTAGTCAAACACACCCCATTATCTTTTCCTCGTCCTTTTATAAAAATCTGCCTTCACCTCACACTGCTCCACCCTGCCCAGGAATGAAGCTGCCTTCCCGAACCCCAACTCACCTGGACAGCGAGGACGAGCAGAAGTGGAACCAAACAGAAGATCTGAACCCAGGGGGGCGATGTTGCACCTGCCCGAAGACGAAATTTGAAATCGAGCAACATCAGAAAGAGATAGCGTACCGCAAGACCTTTGAGGATTACCTCCATAACATCGTCTTTGAGAGCAGGTGAGCCCTCCCACGGCAAGCGCCTCTGAAAAGCTGCTTTGATTGTCGTGCCAAACTTTCCCTTGGTCTCTCTATATTTTTCTAAGATATCATAAGCAGTGTTGCTGCACTGTTTTAAATGTTAAATTCTCGACTTTTTCAATGTATTTTTTTCTAATTCACCATTTTAAAATACAAAACAAATAAGGATGAAATTATACCTGGACTTGTCAGAATCCGGAAAGTGTAAACGAGAAAGGAAGTGAGGACACAAAAAACAAATGGAGAGAAAATCACATGACATGATGAGCAGTAAGAATCAGAAAAAGGAAGAAGACATGGATGAAGGAATAGAGGGACAGTGTGATTAGAGAGAGGAGGGAAGATGAGAATAAAATGAGAAAAAAATGGGATGAAAAGTCAGGGGAAATATCCTTTTTATTTCATCCTCAATTGTCTTCCAGACCTGGAAATCATATAAGTTCCAGACAATTCATGATATAGCAACCAAATATGGCAAAATTTTGACATTTTAGACAAGGGAAAAAAAAGTTGTGGTTGTTGGAGGGAGTTAACTGATCCTTCCTTCTCACTGAAACACACCTGCACAAGTTATGTCTCGCTATCCTGCATTGACTTCCATTAATTTTTATGGCCTAACCATTACTAACACATACCTAACCCTAAACCTGACATACACCATCCCCCACCTCAAGGGGAGAACGTTTCCTTGTGAGGACCGATTGACTGGTGCCCACAAGAACCCGTAAGAGCCCCACAATGTAGCATACTTCTAGGAAACTGGCCCCACATTGTCCCCACAAGGTAACAAACACCTCCATACACGCACTACCCCTAGGGAGTCATTACTGTGCCCATTATCATTCATGCCAGTCAGAGGTGCAATCATGCACACTGCCATTTGAAAACACAAAAACACTCAGCCTCACACACTACTGACTCCGGACGGGGCGAGCTCTCTGTACTAACAACAGTCCTCGTGCTCTCAGAGCCCATCCACCAAAAGAAATATGGCTGTTTTTCTTCCACCTGAGTGAGAAACTCCTTAGCAGAACTTGAGCCTCAAGAAGACAACAAATTGCCGTCACATTTATTGTCAACTCTGGTTAAAATCTGTAAAAAAGCCTTAAACCAAATTAATCTACATGTTTTAAATGTGGAAAAAACAGCTACCTAACCATATATGTTGTTTCCATCGGAAAATATTTCCTCCTAAAGGATTTTTTTTTTTTTTTTTACATAACACTGCAATCAATTTGAAAAGTAAAAGCATTTTCAAAATGCTTGGCTTTTCTATGTTGATCTGAGTTTCTAGCACCTTCTAATTAATAATCCATGACTTGTCAGAGGTGATATACAGGCCCATTTGTTTTAGCCACTGGCCCTCAGGTTGGAGGAGGAGGACCCACATCTATCTTTCCACCATGCACTGTGAGCCGGATGGTAAAGATAAAAAATAGACAACATTAGAAACATACAGTAAAGAGAAACATCCTTTGGTCATCAAGTTTCCATAACAGTCATTAAATTCAATCTACAGGCCATGCCTTTATGTCCTTAATAAATGAAAAGAGATGGAGTTTACCTTGGTCAGATTAGACTAAGATTAAGTTTTCGGAAAGTAAGGACTCCAGGTGGGGCTTTATGGTTGTAACATGATTATGTAACAAGCTTCAAGCAATTGAATTGAGATTCCTAATTTTAAAAAACATTAATTTGTTTGGTATAGTTGGGCCATTTGGTATCATGTTATATTCTGATGCCATGTGCAATAACTAATGTGCAATTACTATTTAACAACCTGTGCAATAATCCTGTTAAATAAGTGACTTCAGCTGTTATATTTATCTCACTATCTCATTGTTTTTCCTTACCTGGTACCACATTCATGTACAACACCAAATCCATACATGTATAAGTCACCTTAAATGTACATAAGTCACCTTAAATCTCTGCCCTATTTCTTTTTTTTCTCTCGATCCATTGTACACGTGGCTGCACTGCATATACCCCATGCACCTTTTCCCTTTGGTACTTTCTTTTGACTATTGAGCCGATGTGACAAGTGAATTTCTCCACTGTGAGATTAATAAAGTCTAACTTATCATTATCACAAACAAAGCAATTGACAGCAGGTTTGCCAAGAAGAGAGACATCAGTGTTTTTTTCTTATCTTTAGTTTCTCTATCCTTCTTTAAACTTCCCTCAAATTAAAGTTTTATTATTCTTTAAAAAAAAAACAAGGTAAAACATCTGTTTTCCTCCCTGAATGTGTGGATTGTGCCATTTACCTCAAACAGCTGAGGGTGCAGTATCCTCTCTCTTAGTTGCACCATGTGAAAATGGCTGCTGGTGGGATAACCGGGGCTGGAGGAGATATTTCTGGCTAAATGATGTTAGATTGATTCCTCCTTTGACATCAAATGGTTAAAAATCTCTGTCCATCCATCTGCTTCTCTCAATTATGAAACATGTCTTTTAAAACATCTTGACCACATATATCATTGTTATTTTTTTATGCATCTCCTCGTTACGTGTCTCTAGGCAAAGTCGTCCTCGACGCTCAGTGGACGACCCAGATCCCACCCAGTCCACTCTCTTTCACACCTCCATGTCCCGTCTGAAGTACGATCCAACCACTGCTTCACCCGAGGAAGAGGACGAAGAGGAAGAGGGATCTAAGGTTTCAAATGCTGTTTGTGTTTTAATTAATAACAGAAAGTAAAAAAAAAAAAATCTGTCTTTAAAAAAAGTCAACCTAAAGTGACTGCAGCGTGAATAAGATGCTTTATTCGAATTAAAGTAACATACGTCTTGGACTTTATATTGTATCAGTTGCAGTACTTCTTTCTCCTTTTTTGCCTAGGTGGTGGTCGATGTGTTTGGGAAGGAATCAGTAGTCATATCCAACCTGCAGCACTTCACCAGCTATAAGATAGAGATCATAGCTTGCAACCATATCACAGACACCAAACGCTGCAGCTTGCCCACTTATGTCAGCGCCCGGACCATGCCAGAGTGTAAGGATGCTCTTCAACTAATTTGCATCATAAAGCGTATAGTTATCGACCCCGCAGATGTCTTTCAATGTGACACTTAAAGCTAGCAGTACAGAATATGTTGCTGCTGGGAAATGAATTTGATCCATTGACATTCTATGTCTAATGTTGTCCAGTAAAAGCAGATGACATCCCAGGCCAGGTGACCCATGAGATTGTGAACGCTGAGCCCCCCTATGTGAATGTTCGATGGAACGAGCCTCCCTCGCCTAATGGCCTAATCATCCTTTATGAGGTGTTCTACCGGAAGGTTGGCGACCCAGAGGTAAACATGCAAAACCAAAAAAAAAAAGGTCAATAACTTGCCTCTTTCACCTGACAAAAAAAAGGTTGCTTTCACTGTTTTCTTTCCTGTTATACAGAAACTAAAAGAGATTAGAGATTTTTTTTTCATTCTGGTTTGGATTGATAAGTGCACATCTGTGGTAGGGTGCATGTTAAAGCATGGATGTTTACCTGCTGCAAATATGTGATTAAAACCCAGCAGCAGCAGCAGCTGTTGCCAAAGTGACAGGAGCAAGAAGGAAGGTTTCAAATGCATCAGCAGAGATTATGTCGTATCTCAGACCCTGTGTGCTCTGCACTGCGCTGAAAACAATCGAGTCAGACGCATACAGCCTTCAGCCTAAACAATACTGGTCTACATTTTATTGAAAACGCTGATTAGAACACGATGGCGGCTCTGATTAATTAATTAGGCTGTTACTCTGGCTGCCTAAAGCAAGACTCAGATATAAAGGCACTTTATTGACCCTCTTGCTAAACATGTTTTTTTTTTTTCTATCTAAACAGTAATTATCATATATAACAAAGGTTATCAGAAACAATTTTTGAAATAGAAAACGCACAGATTTTTTAGTTTGTTAAATGTAGTTTCTTATTACAGGTTTTAAAGAGTGACACCTTTTCACAGATCGTTAAATCTGTCTTGTTTTCATGTCTTCGCATCTGTGTGAAGATGCAAAAAGACTTTTTTTTTTTTCAAACTTTAAAGTAGCGAAGGTTTTGGGGACTTTAAGTAGAAAGGCTGCTTATGTGACTCATTATTTACAGTAAAGGTTCTCACCTGCATTTAGGTTTAGTTTCAAATCTAACATCGCAGTTGAGGTAAGTCGTCTTTTCTTGTCTTTATCCAGCCGCACTCAACTTGTGTCTCACGGCTGAACTATCAGAAGATGGGCGGCACCAAGCTCACGCTGGTCCAGGCTGGGAACTACAGCGTGACTGTCCGGGCTACATCCTTGGCTGGAAATGGATCCTTCACAGAAACCACGTACTTCTTCATGCCGAGCCGTAAGACACAATGACGTCCTGCTTCACTCTCTATGCCTGCACTTCCTCTTTCCTATGTTCAGTGTTTGCCGTTTAATTAGTTTAGTGTAAAGCGTTCAGAAGCTTATTTCAGGTTTCATACCCAACGGTTTCTGTCTGTCTTCAGCTGATACAGGTTTAGTTTGGATTGTGAGTGGACCGGTCATCTGCTCCATCCTCTTGCTCTTCGTGGGAGGAGCCGTCTTCTTTATCATCAGGAAAAGGTAAGATTTAACAAAAACTTTGCGGCAGACATTTGTTGCCTAGCATTTTTTCACCTTTCTAACGCTACTACAGGCTTCAGTGTATTTCAGTAAAATTTTAGAAATATGCTTCAATAGAAAAATAACAAAGAAAACCATAAGAAGGGCTGTTTTCCACATCCCAAGGGGAGACGGTAAATGTTTGGAGGTAGATGCTCCGGTCAGAGGAGGCCAATAGTGATTCCCTTTTGGTGTTTATGTAGAAAAAAACCATCCCTACAGTAAAACACGGTGATGGCATTATGATGCCTTGGAGATATCTTTTTGAAAAGGTACAAGAAGCGGGTTAGATCTGATGGAAAGCTCAGTGGAACTAAATGCAGCACAGTAATGGAAGAACATCTCTTAGAGGCTGCAAAAGATTTTAAATTGTGGTATTTTCACCGTCCAACTGCACAAAAACTCTAAAAGTTCATCCAGAGCTACTAAGGATGTTTGCTCTGATTGCTTTAGATCAAAGCTTATTTGTTAGTTGGAAGTAGGGCTGCAACTAACGATTATTTTAAAAATCGATGAATCGGACGATTAATTTTTCCATTAATCGATGAATCGGACAAAAAATATTTTTTATATTAACCTCTTTATTCCAAAATAAACATTATAGACAGAACAAACAAGCACACAAGTACAGGTTGCTCATTAACTGTACTGGTGCAATAGGAAAAATAAATGTTTGTGTTAAAACTACGCAAACTTACATGAGAAATGTAGATGTACATCCACAAAATATAGGGTACTTTGTTTCATAAAGCGCAAAAAAAGACATTTTTGTTTTTAAAAGCCCCTAAGGGGTTCAAACAATAGGCCCCCCCATTTCAACAAATGAGTTTTTTTTAGACTAGAAGAGTTCTGCCTTTTAAGACAGGAAGGTATAGCAGTTAAAGTTGCTACTTGAGAAAATACTGAACCATAGAGATAAAAATAGCCCTGTGATTCAAATTATAAATTGTATTTGGAATAAAAATGAGAGAACTAGGGGTGCTAAAAAACACATCCTCTAAAGACAGATATTTACATGGGAATGTGGCATATAATTAATTGACATATTACTGATCTTGCTGGATTTTATTCTGCTTTACTTCTCTAAATTGCAGGATCCTCTTTACTTTATCTTTGCCAGAAGATTTAAACTTTAAAAGTCTTGCCCTCATAATTTGCAAGTTAATTTATTTATAAAGTAAATGTAAACGCTGCTTAAGCTAATTCAAATGAAATTAAAAGTAAAATAAGTAGCCAACCTTATCACTGTCTGTAACCTACTAACAAGGTAAGGAAAGCATCAGATGAGCTACCTGAGAAACTAACGTAATGTTTCCCCACTTTAAAACCAAATAAACATGGTGGTTCCGTGCCATGTTAATTTCTTTTGAAAAAAGTTGCATGTTATCACTTTTTTCGCTTTACAAAGCGCAGGCTATTTTAATTATTGTGATAAATTTGCGCCGTCAATCCCGGTGCATGCGCGCTTCATTTGCAGTCTGGACGCTGAGGCTCTGACTGAGAGGGACTCCTGCGGGAAAACGCGGTTGGGGGTGGGGGAGGCGCCCCACGGCAGAGTAGGAATGATACATGCTTTCACGTAAGAGTCTCCAAAAGCCGCCAGTGACACCGAAAAAAGTCGCCAGATTTGTCGCTAGTCGCTTTTTTGAAAAATAGTCGCTGGAGGGGTCTGAAAAGTCGCGGCGTTGGCAACACTGCACCTGCGGCGCTGACTCGCTCTGCCGTATTTTTTTTTCTTCCTCTTTCAGTCAGGAGGCAGTGATGACGGCGCAGCGGATGACGCAATAATCGCGCGACACAACTAATCGATGATAAAATTCGTTGCCAACGCTTTTAAAAGTCGATTTTCATCGATTTTATCGATTCGTTGTTGCAGCCCTAGTTGGAAGTATCCAACTAGAGTACAGACCTCATCCAGCCTGATGAGCTCTTTGGAAAAGAAACATGTTCAAACCGTGGGTTGGGCTTAGAGCGTACGCCGTGTTGGATATGCTGGATCTGCTGTTAGATACTTAATTCAGTGTTAGAGGGACTCTTATCTAATAATATGCTTTATATTTGTAGTATAAAAAATATTTTTGTAATGTTTGACTTTAATGTCATATTCTTTTGGCTTTATTCCTCTGACCTTATCTCATAAACCAAAATAAAATAATCTATAGCCTATAGACTGTATGATGCTTCCACTTTATTCTCATATTTTTTTTTATAAAATTACCTCTTAATATACTTTTGTCTTACAATATTACCAGTTTTGTCTCATTATGTTTTTATTCTATTCTTCTGGCTTTTTTTTCTCATGATATTAGTAATTTTATCCCTTTACTTGGTCAAATATAATACATGCCCATAATACTCCACCGTAGATCTGTGTCTATACCAGATATGGACATCTTATTAAAAAATAAATAAAGACCACGAATGCTTAGATTAAACTGATTAACCTTTGTCTTCTTAAAGCTTTATCTTTGGGAAATCTATATAAATAATTGAAATAATTTATTCTAGTGTGTGGAGAATAATATTTTGTTTCTTGTTAGCTGGTTTCCCTGCTGGGTTCACATTGGGATGCGGGGAAATTCCCAGTATTTCCACCAAAGTTAGAAAATTCAATTTGTTTAAAGATGGGGAAAATACTATAATACATGTTTTTTCATTCTTACGTGTGAAAAGTAAGCCCAGCAGATCTGGTTTGTGTAATAAAACGTTTGGTACATTTCAATGCATGAGGCATCCTTTCTGATCAGCGATCCCTATAGCTCCTTTAATTCAACATGGCAGTGGCGTCAAAGTTCAAGCCCACGCCCAAAGAGGCATCTACATATTCCTGTCTGTGGTTAAATCTAGTAGCCATAACTCCAAAAGACCTTACCTTAAAAAAAAAAAAAATGTCTTTCTTCCACTTCATAGTCAGGAACAAAGCTTGGTGTTGGCTGATCACATATAGCTGGTAACTTAGTAATTTGACATGATGGGAAAACTTAGGCTCCTAAATATAAAACCTGAATAATTTGTCACTAGACGTTTCTTTCTCTGTTACGTTCGATTATTTAGCGGCATTCCTGTGGTTGTGTTACAGGCAAACCGAAGGTCCTTTGGGAGATCTCATCACCTCACCGAATCCAGAATACTTCAGTGCCAATGACAGTAAGACCAGCCCGTATTGTCCTGCTGCCTTTTAGAATATGACAACCTAGCGAAGAAGTAAACGTTCGATCTGTGGCGGGGTTCATGCAGCTCTCTGTGTTTTGTTCAGTGTACGTTCCTGATGAGTGGGAGGTTCCCCGCGAGAAGATCAACCTCCTCCGGGAGCTGGGTCAGGGCTCCTTCGGCATGGTGTATGAGGGCATCGCTCAGGACATCGTCAAGGGAGAACCAGAGACGCGCGTCGCCGTCAAGACGGTCAACGAATCAGCAAGCCTGAGAGAGAGGATCGAGTTCCTGAATGAAGCTTCGGTCATGAAGGCCTTCATCTGTCACCATGTGGTGAGGACCCGCCTCTTTTTTAACCACAAAAAAACCCATCTCCATCCAGCATGCTGGGGCAGCTAGCCGACTCCCAGAGATTTGTCATGTTGCTGAAAGCAGCACGAGCCACAGAATCATGACCCACTTGTTGTGCTGAAGCGGCCATATTGACACGCAGTCAGACTCCAAAACAAATGTTCACACTCAGCGAGCGATGGAGCCTGCCTTTACCATTTCATTACAAAACCTACGGAGCTGCAATTAAACGGCCGTGTGTCAACACTGTAAGATGAACACAATACCACATCGGGATGTAGGGAATACATTTTAGGATTTTCCTTGAGAGGAGGGGAGAGTCCACATTACTACTATGATTTATGTAACTTTCTATTTGAACCAGGTCGTGGAAAGCCTTTATATTGGATATTATATTGGAAGCCCTGTGGATAAAATAAATGTGTATTTATGCGTCTTGTGTTTTATTTGTTTAGAGCATATTTTGTTAAATTGTAAACATATTTTGTTATTCTGCTAAAAAAGCATGAAGTTCCTAAAAAGAACTTAAATTTACAATTAAATAAGTGACAAAGTGGATTTGTTCTTAGGTTCGTCTGCTGGGAGTCGTGTCTAAAGGTCAGCCCACGCTGGTAGTCATGGAGCTGATGACTCATGGCGACCTGAAGAGCTACCTGCGGAGTCTGAGGCCAGACTCTGAGGTTTGTTCCCTCTGTTTGTTCTTCTTATTCATCATCTCTCATCATTTTAAGTGTAAAATATTAAATACGAGAGCTGAAATGTTCCCTAAGTTTGTTTTGATTAAACAGAAGACCCAGCAGCAGGAAAAATGGCCGATAAAACATGAAGGTTTTCATTGTTTTCCTTGTTTTTTTTTGTCTGCCTCTAGAACAACCCATCCGGCTGCCCGCCGCCCACTCTGAAAGACATGCTCCAGATGGCAGCAGAAATTGCAGACGGCATGGCCTACCTCAACGCCAAGAAGTTTGTGCACAGAGACCTTGCGGCCAGAAACTGCATGGTGGCGGAGGACTTCACTGTCAAGATCGGAGGTCTGTGCTTGTTTGATTTTCCGTGTTTCTCACACAGAAAGCACACCAGATCAATCCCAGTGGATTTTTCACGTATGCTGACTCTTTAACCCCCCCCCCTCTCCTCCCTGCCGCCACGCAGACTTTGGAATGACGCGGGATATTTATGAGACTGACTACTACCGCAAAGGAGGGAAGGGTCTGCTTCCCGTCAGGTGGATGGCTCCAGAGTCCCTGAAGGACGGGGTTTTCACCGCCCACTCTGACTGCTGGTACGTCACTCCTCCTACGCTGAAGATTTGCCGGAGATCTCTGACCTTTAATCCTTTATTTGTGTCTTTTGTGTGTGCGTGTGTGTTTGCAGGTCTTTCGGGGTTGTGCTGTGGGAAATCAGCACGTTAGCAGAGCAGCCTTACCAGGGTTTATCCAATGAGCAGGTTCTGAAGTTCGTCATGGACGGAGGCTTCCTGGATCGACCTGACAACTGCCCTGAGAGGATGTAATCATGCTTTTTTTTTCTTCTTTTCTAGTCGGAAACGAACAATCGTATAAAATATTTCTGATTTTAATTGCTTACATGTCACTTCAGCAGCCAAAAGGCATTTATACCCTTGGAACATTCCTGTATGGACGTTTTTGGCTGATATAGAAATGTAATCTGAAGGAATACATTTCTATTTCACTCAATGGGGCTGAAAATAAATGTTCTTTCTATTATTTCTTTTTTTTTTAGTTAATAATTGTTTTGGATCTAAAGCATGTCACTGATCTGTTTGTGCGTCTCCTGTCCAGGCACAGCCTGATGCAGATGTGTTGGCAGTACAACCCCAAGATGCGGCCAACGTTCCTCGAGATCATCGAGATGCTGCGGGACGACCTGCACCCGACCTTTCAGGAAGTGTCCTTCTTCTACAGCGAGGAGAACAAAATCCCCGAGACGGAGGACTTCGACCTGGACCTGGACAACATGGAAAGTATCCCCCTGGACCCATCGTCTTATTCCCAGAGGGAGGATAACTTAAGCAGAGACAGCGGGCCCTCGGTGGCCCTCAGGGGGAACTATGAGGAGCACATCCCCTACACACACATGAACGGTGGCAAGAAAAACGGAAGAATCTTATCATTGCCCAGATCCAGTCCTTCCTAACATCTCCTGCTCCCTCCCCCTCCCTAAAATGACTAGTGACACTTCCTCCCTCTCTTTCTGTCCCTTTTTTCTGTACCTTGCAAACATTTTCTAACGATTTTTCTTATTCTTAGAGAAACCAATCGAAAAATAACACAAAAAAAAAAAGACCCAGATCTCAGGACTTTGAATTTTCTTCCTCATAGCTGCCAAACCAAGGCAAGCAAAGGATGCAAACGCCTCTTTTCAACTTGCTCCATGACACATCAGACTTGATGTTACCCACATCTGCGTTAATGGGTCAACACCATGTTTCCAGGACTCCATGTGACGGAAACAACAACAAACATTAAAAAAAAAATCAAAACTGTGAACACAACAAACCTTAGACAACCAAGAAGGCTGCTCAACCTTCCCTCTCACCCCCATAAAAGCCTCTCCTCTCGCTCCCAGCTCAACTGCATTTTCCACACTTCTGTGCTTTTACCTTTTTTTTGTCTCTCCAAATGAAACGTTTTTACTCTGATGGTGGCCTTTAAAAAAAAAAAAAAAATACGTGGCCTATAGACTACAGAATCATGTCTAAGTAAATTCCTCGTTTTAGCTACAAAGACTTAATCAGTGGGATGACTTACTCGCAAAGAATTGATCTTAGAACAAACATCATTTCCTGGAGGAACATTTTCTTTTCTTTTCGCTTTGTTTTGTTTTTGGTTCTGCAAAATTCCAAACTACCCACAGATTTATCAGGTGTTTGGTGAATAGTTTTAATTTATTGGCTGTGTCCTTATTTCCCTTCTCTGTTTGTTTCTGTGTCCTCACTTTGTGGCTGAAGGATATTTAAACAGTTCAAATTTGGACAAAAGAGTTCATCAGACTGACCAATAGCTGCTGCTTTGATATATTATAGTGGGTATAGAAATATATAAATATATAATATATATATAGTATATATAGAATAATTACATTTTTCAGCCATTATTTTATATATAGTATACTGTATAACATTGATGGGTTACTTTTGTAAATACTGTAGTTGATATTTGTGTACTTCATCAGAGGCTTTACTTACGTGTTTTATTGTGTTTTTCTTTTTTTTTTAAATGTTTTTTAGCCCCAGAAGTTACACTAATCTACCGTCAGTGCTCTCTGTGTCTACGGCATCCAGCCCATGATCTTTTTATTTTTTTATTTTTACTTTTGTCTTTGATTTTCAACATATGGAGGAAACTTTACTACTGCAGCAAAAAAAAACCCGGGATAAATGACCTAAAAGCTTTACAAAGAGGGGAAGCCAGGCCTTTATAGGGTCAAAGTGCTCCAGAAATGTGTTTGCCGTCTTTCTCTGGTCACAATCACAGTTTGCCTTTTTATCCATTTGGTTTCTTTGAGGAGAAAACAAAAAAAAACTAAATTCTGTTGCAAAAATGTCTTGAAATTGTGCAGCTTTGAGTGGTTTTGCTTGTTCAGGTGCTTCTCAGTTGTCGGTATTAGTCCTGGAGTTTACGGCAGGTGAGGTGGATGATATTAGGAATTTCAGTTGGGGAGATTTACTACATTAAACCCAAGCATTGATAAATCACCCACACCTCACTGCTCCTGAACCCTCCGACGCGGCTTCCAAGGCTTTCTGTCGGCCACTGAACTCTCCTCTCCAAATAAGTCTGGTGGAAATTTCCACGTTTAACGACTGAGGGCTGGAGAGAGATGCGGAAAGTTCCAAATGTATTCACAGCCGGCAGTCCTGCACTCCGGGTGGGGCGGGATCATGAGTCGATTGTTAATTCTCTTATTCTCCCTGCCATCACATGGAGCTTCACAGTCGGGGCACGGCGTGCAGCAGCTTTTCCGCTCAGGACACACATTCCAGGATTCAGTCAAATCTCCACATCCCCAAAGAATCCTGTTTGGCCGACACCATCAGAGTGTTTTGCTGCATTAATCAACGGCTGCTTGGGTTTGCAGAAGATAACACTTTACAGCATCTTGTCTTTTCGTGATTTTCACCCCATAAATTTGGAGTATAAATCATTTCTAACAGCAGTGCCAACAAATCGGCAAAAAGATTTTCCTTCACTGCATAACTGGAAACGCTCTTCTCCCAAATGGCAGCATTTCTCTTTGAGGACACAGACACTTTTTTGCTGAGCAGCGTTCATTTAAAGGGTGGCCAGAGAAGCTGCCTCCATATCTGAACCAGTGCCTTTTTAATTATTTCCCAACAAATTCATCTTCTAAGCTGATGCAACATGCAGAAAATATGCTCCTAATGGCCTGTCAGTTTTTATTTTGTTAGTTTTTCATTTGCAAAAAAAAGCAAAAGGTCTCTAATATGTTATGATTGAGTCGCTGCAGGTAGTTCAGAGTCAGTAGTTATTAGCATTTACTGATGTGGTCGCAAGAGCTAAAGATGTGTAATAAAACCTTCATATCATCTCTGTATTTGAATAGATTGATCTCCCATTGCATGATTTGGACAAAACACTAATTTTATTAAGAGTAAATTTATTTATTTATAAGAAAATATAAAAACTAACACTAGTATCCCAGATACCGCCTTTAAAAGACATGAAACTCAACCTGCTAATGATTGCCCTTTTTTAGTGTTTGAAAAATAGTTTGGCCCACAGCATCATAGGTCCACTTTATGAAGCGCCATAGAGGACTAATTCCAAAAAATGGGGTCGTTGATCAGCCATTAACGGGTTGAGAGATCCACAACAGAAATTAAACTAAACAATAAACACTAATGTTGAAGTAATTAAGGTTGGAAAAGCATCTCTAAAGATGGAATAAACCAAATACTGTGATTGTTGAAGCCGATTGTAATATTTTACAACTGTATTTAATTGATTTTGAGTAAAGGTTTGTATTCTCAACTCAATATTTGGGTCATGAGTCGACTCTGGTACCACTTGTGGGTCAGAGGCTGAAAGTCTGGGAACCTCTGCTGTAGAAAACATCAACTGGATGGATTGTGTTTTTTCCAGTAAAATTTTAGTCCAATTTCACCAAAGATCCACTTAAAGTTGCAAAAGAGTTTAGTAAACTCCACTTAGTTTTGTCTGTAGCGGCCAGACAGAAAAGGTATTTCTTAGACTCCTTGGCAACCACTTAGCATGCAGAAAGCATCCATTGGTTGCCATGGAGACCTACAACTCCAAGGTGCAAGGTAATACTGTGATTCTTAAAAGCAAGCTCTTAGATTTCTTTTTTATTTTTAAACAGTTACTGTATTGAATAGCAAGAAAAATCATAAAGGTAATGTTTTTGTTACGTTCATTTTATCGAATTATTTAAGGTCCAACAATATGGCTGTCAGTAAATCTCCAAATCATTCAGTGGGGGAGTCCTCTATCAATTTATCTGAAGGCTGTTTATGTAAATTAAAGAAACAAATTGGAACCATTTTAGATTTCTGCCTTTTTGAGTGAAAACAAGGTTTTTAATAAGATTCTAGTAAACATCTTTAATGTTTCTAGTACTGGCACATCACAGTGAGCCCTATTTGTAGCTCAGACACATCTCTGGTTCCCTCTGCATAAAAACAACAGAGTACTATTCTTTTTTTAATGAAACTATTTGACCGTGTGATTGAGCATTAATGAGGTTTTAGGAAATAGATGGTTAATTGTTGTCCTGGTGGGAAGGCTGGCGGTGAACAGCTCTGTTAATAGTTTGTTTGTATGTAGTTGTCTTGGTCTGTTTGTTTGGCCGGAGTCTACCTCAGTGCAGGAAGGAGGAAGCTGTTCAAAGAGCCTCGATCATCCCCACAGCCTGCTTAGTATCACTACAAAGAAAATCTTTTTATGCTACGTTTTACACACATATGATGGTTTTATACGGTTAACTCTCTCCTGCCTCTTTTTATGTATCCGTATCTCTTCTTGTGTGTCTGGGGGAGGCAGCCTTGCTTCGAATTAAACACAAACTATGGAGCTTAACGAGCAGCTCCTTTTCTTTTCCCCACTTCCACTACAGGAGGAAGCAGACGACCTCCAGACTGCTCCTCGGTTCATATCTACTGATTTCACAGCAGATCCCCCTCTTATCGCCTGTTTGCAGCCAAAGCTAACCTAGCTCAGCTGTAGGCCTTATGTTCTGTAAACGACCTTTCTTTGCATTTATCCTCCTGTTGTATTGGCTCTGATTTTGTTGTCTGTGTATGTTTTTTTTTTTTTCTTTCCCCACCCCAACTGTGAATACAAGAGATGACCTTTTATTTTCCCTGCCAGCACCATTGATCCAGTGGGTCTGTTGTGACGGATTATGACACAGAAGTGGGGGCGATTAGAGAGAACCTTTTATTTTCCTGCTGCAGAGAAAAAAAAGCCAACTGGGACAATCCTGTGTGCCATAAACAAAAACTTTTAACAGATTTTAAAATCTTGATTGTAAATTTTTGGTCTCAGGGAGGCGGCTCCTTGCTTTGCCTCAAGAGCATAAAGAGGTGGAGGAGGGAAAAGAAGAACTACCTACCTTTTCATCTATCCCAGTTGTTCCTAATTAGAGATAATCAGGAATCCACATCTCTGGCTCTGTGGTGAAGTGGCTCAGACTGCCCTCTAGTGGTTTCTTGGAGGCATTGCAGGTCTCAACGTGCCTTCTTAAGACTAAAGGCACACCTGACTCAGAAACTGGCATTTCTCTACAAATCGCAGATTTTACACCAAACTTAAAATAAAAGCTTTCACTTTATTTTATTTTTTTGTTTTTTACACATTCTGTTTCTTTTTCCTTTAAATGCAGAATTAATACTGTAATTTGAAAGAAAAGTTGATGAACTCCAGATTCATGGTTTGATGTTGATGGCTTTTGCTTCTGATCAGTCTGTTACAACAGGGCCCCCCCACCCACTCACACCAAAACCTTACAAAAAAAAAATAAAGGTGTTTATTTGGAAATCTGTACAATAAATAATAAGCTCCTCAAACTGTAAATAGCTGCTGATGTTGTGTGTCCAGGAAAAAGGAAATAAAAGAGAAGCACTTGGTGTTAGGGAAGGTTTGCTGAACTCTTATTGGGTGAAAACAAAGCAGATGGTTTGCTTTGTTTTCAGCAGATAAAGTATTACACTTTAGAGATGTTGATTTCTATTTTTTTAGCCAAAGTAGGGGAGGACAAAAATCAATAGTTTTTTTTCTGACTGTAGTTTTCCTACTTCTTGTACATGATGAATTTAACGTTGTTATCAATGTGTGTATATATCTTTTTCTAAGTTTAAATTAATTGATTATTTCTCTTTTTGTCTGTTTTTTATAACACAGCCCACCACAGAAACATGTCGTAGTCTGTTCATGTATTTGGTAAAGTGGGGGGGGGGGGGGAGCAGCTCTCCTGTCTGAAGCAACATAACAAAACAGCATGTGGCCTCCAATTTGTCGCATCCCATAATCTCATGCTAGTTTTCTGAATGTCAGCCCCCACCCCATCACACTCAGTCCAAGCAGCATGTCGACTGAAAGCCTTTTCTCATAAATGTCTTTTTATTTTTTAATAAAAATCAGGTGGAAACTTTTTTTTTTTCTTCCTTTTTATGTACACATTAGGGGGAAAGCTGGACCAGACCCATGTGTTTTTAAAGAGTAATTCTAAGCAATAAGATCCAAAATGAAAAATTAAATCTGTGATGAAGAATACACTTGCCTGAAATTCAGACTAGAGCTGGAGGTATTTCTGCTAGAAGATGAAACTGTTTGCTCCCATTAATATGACTTATTTTCTTATTCTAATAGAGGGACATGTTTTTCTGATCATAAAAGGCTTTTTTCTCACTTTAAACTTCCCTGTTTATTCAAGAGCAAAAGTCATTTGGTAAAAGGAGCAGTGTGCCATCTAGTGGTAAAGCTTGAAATTACAAACAAACTGATATCTAAATATTTGGTAGAAAAGGGCAGATTGAGCCTTTAACAAAGAAAATTTTGATGTTCTGCAGATTTGTTAATCTCAGAATAATGGTTGATTAATTTTAAAATTTTCAGCTTTACCTACTTAAGTTTTTGAATTTGTTTAAACTACTTGTCCCCCCAAAATGGCTGGATCATATGATTTATCTCAGCAAAATTTCTCCTAGAAATAAAACTGTTAGAGTTGTTCCTTTCAACAGGTTAACACCTGTTATGAAACACCTCCTGCTCTGAGTCATTTCATAACTTACTAAGTGGCATATTTAACGTATGTTTCATGAATCCTTATTGATTGAAGTTAAATGCGTAGAAATAAAAGAGCTAGTGGTCTACTCCAGTTCAGTCACCTCCTGTGCTTGCTTTGTTTAAACCATTGTCTGATTGTTCCTCCTTTCTGTCTTTAAGTGTCTTCTCTTGGTGCACGTAGGTGGTTTCTCCAGATTTCTGTGCATAGTCCTGCAGGATACCTCTTTGTTAATGTAATTTTTATTGTACTTGTATTCATTTTTGGAACATATTGTGTATACAGTACGTGGAGATGTTGTGAATGCAGAAAGCGGGTGTAAATGTGTGCGTGTACAGTCCGAACCCCCCCTCCCAAACCTGCAAAAACCTCACACGGATTGCTTTATATCCCCCCCCATTCACCTCACACTGGACCCAGATGTGCCATGATCTATCTGTACCACGGACAGCAAACGTGATGGGAGTTCCTCTCACAAATGCAGAGATAAAAGCTCATTGTACAGGATCAAAACAACAACAAAACGTGCCATGACTAAAAGAACGCTTGACAATTTATTTTTTCTATACGTTTTCAAAAGGAGAGCCAAGTAGTGACATGTAAAGAAAATGTTGCAATGATATGAAAGTAAGAAAATCTTGCTGTGTGTAAATTATTCAACAATTAACTGTTTATATTAAAATTATGAATAAAATTATTGGAGAAAATGTGTCTTCTTGAAGTCCTTTGTAGCTGAATAAAGAGGCCTTTTCAAAGTTGGAACTTTCGAAACACCTGCAGTTTTAAAGATGGACACTATGAAAAGAAATACTGCTAAACACGTTTCTTTATTAGGTTTTAAAGGAAGAAAAAACAAATTTTTTGGGAATAGTGCTTGTCCATGTTAATGGAAAATTATGAAAAATCCACAGCCCAGCTTTAAGAAATATTTCCAAATTACTGAAGGGTTGGGGGAAAAATCCCCTGTCCCAATAATGCTTAAAGGACTTAAGGGATTTTATCACTTTATTCATTTATCTCCTTTTTATCACATCTCATGTGTTGCATCTTCAAAATTAACACACTTTCAAATTTGTTACTCCTAAAGCTGTTTTTTTAGGTAACAGCAAATGTAGAAAACTAACATAAAATATATTCAAATGGGGGATAATGCTTTTTAGCTCATTTTTAACATTTTCAGCATAAAAAAAAGTTATTTAGCTTAAAATTGGTGTTTCTAAGTTTTAATAAAGTAGCTAAATATATAACTGATCTGGTAGATAAAAGTCCTGTAAAAGCCTAAAAATAAGACATTTATTCTTTTTTTAATTGAACAGAATTTAATATACTTCTATATAGTCTATACTATAGAATCATTGAAATCACCATATAATCCTACTAAATTAAAAGTAATTATATATTAACAGTATTTAACATGATTTAAAGTTCTTAATCATACAATGTATTTATTTCATGGGTGCTGCTCCAGCAAGTTATACATTTCTTTTAATTTTTCAGTTTCATCCATTACAGAATTTGTCCAGAACAGAAGTGATGGAAACGTCGACTTGCCACACTAATAAACTGAACAATTAAAGACAACAATTACAAATGACTTTAATGTTTGTGATATTAATCCTTTTGTAGCACAGATTTAGGTATTAAATGTTGTTCTTAAATAAGTTTTTTTATTGAATGACTTTTAATGAGATATAGATCCATGCATGTGTTTTGGAAGCATATCTATTCTATATTCAATCATAGATGATTATTAAGTATTTTTATTAAAATTTTTTTTCTTTTGGTGTCTAACCTTGTTGCATTCAAGAGCCTTGATCATTCCTAATGAGCTTTAATCTTTTCACTTTTAACACTTGCCTAATCCTTGTGGAATTACCAGTTTATCAAACACTCAGTTAAGTTTTAGCTGGGTTATGATAGGAAGGTCTACATGTAATTGATGGATTATGAATGAAAAAGTACTAAATGTAGTGATGGATATCCAAGGTTTAATAAAGGAAAGTTGAGGTTTTCCTAAGAATTTACAATAATCTGAGGATCTGATTCAACAATATGGGATTTAGATTATTCTGGGCAATTGTGTGTTTTAATGTTGCAGTGGAAATATAATAATGAATCCGCCTGTTTCCTTCTACACAAACATCCCAGAGGTGAATATGTTTGTTTTTAATCATGTTTTTTTGTTTTTCTCATGTGTGTATGACTGATGTTTTTAATCTTGTCTAATGTTCTGCTTCCATCATGGACCTAGTTTGCTCACAAATCCCTGCACCTGATGGCTGATGGTCATCTGTTTTCTCTGGTCCTGTCCAAGGGGTGAAACCTTCACAAATGACCAATATTTTTGCAACAGTTTATACAATAAATGTTTGCTTCACTTTGAAGAGATCAAACAAAATATTTAAATCTCCTTAAGTCTAACTGAAGATTAGAAGTCATAAGCAGGACATATAATCTCAGGTATATCATTGAAATAGGCAGCACAGGTAAGAAAAATTAAAGGTATAGTGGATGATTTTCTTAGCATTAATAAATCTTCACCTCAAATTGCTAATCAAACACTCTGTTTACGCTGATGGCTACTTAGACTTAGACATAGACAACTTTTATTGTCATTTTGTAAACACAGAGTGCGTACAAAATTTCATTTTGTACAGCTTTCCTTACATTTCCATTTCTTAAAGTGCAGCAGTGATCAAATGTAAACAGTGTTGGAGAAAAAACATGGTGCGGAAAACTACTAACTCCCTTCGGCATGCTGAATTCTGCCAATGGAAGCCAGACTAATCTTTCATCACTAGATGGTCAGGTAATGATGTGCAGAAAAGTTCATCGAAATGGCAACATCACTACAAATAACCCGACCCACGAGTATACTGTGATAAATTTAACCTTTTCTATTTTGTTCAACCTTTTTCACAGTTTACACTAACGCTAAACAAAACAGGCAGAGCATCAGAAACAACAACCATATTTCATCTATGTAAAAGCCTTTATCTTTTTTTAGGTTTAAAACCTGGTTAACAAGTTTATGGATAAACTGAACATAAATGGGGAGATAAGAAATTGGATAAAACTGTTATCCTTGGGGTCCATCCACTCAGAAAATAGTATTTTTTTTTCCCTTTTAGCAGCTGGAAAGAAGAGTTGATCAAGACGTCCTATTAACATATTTGAACTTCATAAAGAAAGAAAGCATTATTGATGGAGCCTCTTTTGTTTTGCTTTCACGTTAAACTAGTGACAAGATGATAACTCCTTTATTACCTAATATTCTTTTTTACTTTTTTGCCTCTGTTGACTAAAATACGATATTTTCAGGGGTTTCTTATTCATGTCTTCATGCTTTTAAGTTGGTGTTCAACTATTCTGTGGACTTTTCTCTCTTTGGCTCCTTAAGTCACATTTCTCTCCTTTATAATTGAATCATTTAGGCATTTCGAGATATTGGGTTTTATCATAGGTTAATCAAAATTAGTGTTTATTTCACTGGAGTTGTTTACTAGTTATCAACGATTAGCATTGAAGGCTTTGATAAACATATTTTCCTGTTTAAAAAAACGCCTGACTTTATGACCTTTAGATTCTGTTCCTCCTCTGTTCTGTCCAAAGATATTTTGTTTTCTTTAAAACCCTGCCTTCATGTACAAGAATTGGACAAAAAATTAAATAAGAAAAAAACAAACGGAAACCAAAATAAAAACTTTGAAATTCTGAAGAAATGCTAATCTAGAAGGCTTTACAATATATAGGAAATCCTGCTTGTTGAAATGCAACAGAAAGAAATCCATTGTGGTTTAGGACTTTTTCATAGTTCTGCTTTCTGTCAAAACAATGTTTTGGGATGACTCCTTTTAAAGTCAATAGCTTTTAACAATGCATGTGGGTTTTAATCTAATAAATCAAATAATTATTTTGTTCCCACTTAAACCTGCTTCTAAGGATTTTGCAAGTTTTCATGCAGAAAGAAAAAGTGACAGCAAAGCAGAGGATTTTACACCCTGCAGCACCATTAGTCACATATCTAAGACTTGACTGGTTGGGTGCTTTTCTGATTAAACACTAATGCAGCAATTGGAGTTCTTGCTGTTTTAAAGTCTTAAAGTTTTAAAGTCAGAGAGGTCAGAGCAAGGGGGGGCAACAGCATCCTTTTGTTTTTCTGCAGAAGTGTTGCTCAGACCTGAGCAGCAGCATTGTGGGCTGGTAGTGTGTCAGCAAACGGTGCTTGTTTTCAGCTACACTCATGTGTGATACTGTACGTCTGAGCTGCAGAGAACGAGCGGGGGTAAAAGAGGAAGCAGCTGGTTGTCTTTTTACTCTCTGTCTGAGGACCAGACTTGTGTTCTCACAGAGTAACTCAAAGGACTTAAGCTGTATTTTCTATAGGTGTTTGCCATTTAAAGACAAGGATTACTAAGAAGTTGTGTTCTGCCAGCGGTTTCATCCATGTGAGTAGATTTTTGTTTAGCAGAGCCGTCTATAGGTTCTCAACGAACACATCCTGCATCAGCATATTTCTGCTGATGCTCAATATGTAACTCTAACGTTTTAATCAATACATGAAAAAAGTAACGGAAATGTCTCTCTGCTTATTTGGAAATCACCCAGGATTGCTGTCCACTATATGCACCATGGTCCTTTTTTAAGTATCTGCGGTTGTGCAAATGTTAGAGTATCATTGCTGTCAAGCTATTCAAACAGTCAGTCTTCGTTTTTTCTTTTGGTACAATAAGTCTCTTTAATACATTTGTAATTGTTATTTCAGATTACATATGCTATGTGCTTGTGCATGTCCCTGTGTGTCAACGAGAAACAGTTTCATCGCTCTGTGCTTTCATTACATCCACTTCCTTCTCCTTTTTTGTTAATGCTCTATTTCCCAAAACCAGCACAAACATATGAACTGCTACATTCCAACCATGTAACTAATTTTACACTCTGGTTAACCTTTATAATATTTCCCCTTTTATCTCTTTTCTGTTAGCTTTCAGTTTGGGTTATTATGATTATAAATTATCAATATTCAAATGTCCCGAATTAACAAATGAACTTTTAAAGCATATAAATGCGCAAACGGTTCTAAAAGAAAAGCAGCAGATTATGGTTTTAAAGTTTTTCTTTTATTTTTCCTTTTCCCATCTCTGCACTGCAAAAATGTTCTAGAAATAAGTCAATATTTCTTAAATTAAGTGTATTTACCTTTAATTGAGTAGATAAATAAGATGATTAGCCAATGGAATGAGTATTTTTAGTCTTAAAATAAGATAATTAGACAATATACACATGAAATAGGAGAATGCAATTGTTTGTTCTTATTCTAAATGTAAATTGTCTCGTTCCATTGGCAAAATGTCTCACTTACCTCCTCAATTCAAGAAAAATGTACTTTTTTAAAGGAAAAATGACTTATTCAGACTTTTTTGTAGTATGCAACCTTCTCCTGCTATTGTTTCTCGTCACAGTTGTAGCTTCACTGTTTTCTTCATTGCTACTGGAGGTAATCCCCAGCCTCCTGGCTCTCCTCCCTCCTCTCAGTTCCCTCCCTCCTCCTCTTACTGGTACCACAGCACCAGTGTGAGCAGGCTCCAGTTTAAGCTGGCCTCTGCTCTGCTCCCATGGCTGACTCTCCCCTTAACCACTCCTGGCCTTCCTTCTCTAAGCTCTGGATGAAGAGATGGTCCTTCAAGAGAGGTAATCTGCTTCTAGGTTCAAGTTAAGTGTCCGACCTTCTGTGACCCACCTGAGCGTGCAAACCATCTGTTTCTCCTCTGAGCTCCATTCACTTCTTTTCATATCACTTCTGTTTGCCATTGTGACCTGATTGTGGTTTGCGGTGAGTGACGGTTGCAGTCTTTCAGATCAAAAACAGTGAAGCGTGCATTGTGTTAAACTGTGAGAGTGCAGATATGTGTTGTTAAATTCAAACAGAAACCTGTAATTCATCCGTCAAGATGTCACTTACCATCTGTAGGGCTGCATTTGACCTTTAGTAGTCAACGTGTGCTTCACCCCACAACACCTAACCACGGGCCTTATTCTTCTCTGAGTCTGATGAGCGTTGTTGTTTACGCTTTCTTTTCGTTTTAGTCTGTGCAGCTTGGTAGTTTCAAACAGCACTGAATTTTCTGATCAAAGATGAGGATGGGTTTTTGATGTGCACTCCAAGCTCAGATGTGACAGCTCTGTTTTTATCTGCAGGCAGCATCCGTCGTGCACCATGAGAAACGAGCGGCACTTCTTAACTCATGCAGGCACATAAACTAGTCACCGCAAATTTGAACTGGCTCATGCTGCCCCAGAAAGCAGCAGTCTAAAAACAACTACATGTTGAGAAGTTATCTTTAAATCTGTGGGTTTCTCTCTCTGTCTAGTCAGAATGAATTAAACTAAAATGTCTTGTCATATGCGAACCATACAAGTGTGAGAAGCACCTCGATATGACTGACTTAAACCACCTGATCATGGCCTGGGTTCCTCTTGTGATTATCATGTAGCTTTTGAACACGCTGGCTCTCGTGGGTAAAACGTGCTTTTATTTCCTTCCTCCTGATATATTTGACATCCCATTTTAAATGACTTGTTAAAAAACATCTAAATACAGATGATTTTCAACAGAAAAGTTACTTACATATTGATATTTATGTGATATATTTCTAATTTTTACATGAAAATCATGATAATTATGCCCTAGAGATCGACGGCCCAAATTTCAGTTGCTCTGACAATGAAAATATCACATGATGTCAATAAAAAACAGAACTGTCCTGTTATGGTCATGCATGCCATAAACAATCACAGCTGAGTTAACAACTAGCAGGGAAGCCACAAACTGTTATTACAGAAAAAACAGACTGTTAACGGTGCCTTAATCAAATATTTTTTCTGAAAGATGAGTAGAAGGAAAATGTAGGTTACAAAAAGTTGTAGATGTAAAAAAACGTAGTGGAATAAGAGATAGGACAGGATGCAGGATTATAATGCAATGCCAGTATAAGACTTACTTAGTATTGTAAAGCATTAAATGCACCACATATATATCCATATATATCGCTACACCATATGCTGGTGTTTGTCCCCTAAGTTTTAGAAAGTCCAAAGCCAGAGCAGCATCCTCCCAGGGTATCTTGAGCACTGAATACTTCTCTCTGTTGACAAGCTTTCTGAAGATGCTGAATATATAATATATATATTCCTCTACCTGGAGTTGGCCTCTGCCTACACCATCAATACCAATATCTCCTTTACTGTAACATAAAGAGGAAGTTCGGAGACACCAGACCAAACAGCTCAGAGAAGATAAAAGCCTCCATCTTCATACCACGCTGTAAAGATGCAGTCATTTATGCTAAAGGAACAATTATAGGCATGTATTTCTACAGTAGATTAAAGCTTTCTCCATTAGTTAAATATGATATATGCATTAAAAAAAAATCAATTGGCATTTATGTCTTCATTTATATCAGTAATTCCAACGAAATGTTAAACTTGTGTTGATTTATTGCACAGAGGGAGCTATTTTAAGTGTTTATTTCCATTCATTTTTAATATGACATACTTAGTTATGATTTGTTCCCACAAAAAATAAAAGCAGTGTTACTTACTTTTTTTGTTTTTTTTTAATCTTTTAATTTGTTGTGTACGTACACTAACAATGTTAGACTGTAGTTCTTAATACTTATTAATGTGTGAAGCACCAAGCTGCATAATGTGAGTAAATGTAACAGTGTTCATAGCAGAGATGACATCTTTACATGAATTTTTTTTGTTTTGATAATTTTACGAGCAGAGGTAACCTCCCTTTTTCATATGGAGCCAATCTGTAAAAAAAACAAAACAATAACCTGAGTCTGATGAAAAGGGTTATAAACCTGAGTGCGTGTGCACACACATGCATGCTCTGATGTTTCATTGTTTTGTCATGTCTGAGAAGAAATGAAAGGCCGACCATAAAAGGCCAGAGTGACTCTGCTGCACGAGCGGCTGCTGCAGAGTCTCCTCTGAGTTTACAATTTACACAAGAAGGATTAGACACAAACTAATTCTCCCTCCGGGAAGACGCTGCCACCCCTGCAGCCTCGGCCGCTGATTTAGTAATATAGAGAACTGTATCCACAGTGTGTGTATTTAGACAGTAGCATCTCTGGCTCTCAGGAAGAAGACGGTGGTGGGCTCTGCAGGTTTTATTACATTATCGGAAGAGCTGGCCTGTAGTTTAGCTGGCCACACAGCATGAAGTAGGAATCAGAATTAATAAATGAGATGTTATTGAGATGCATTGAACCCAGTATTAAGACTTTGGATTATCACATAGGCTTTTAGACTCACTTGATGACAGTTTCCTATGTTCACACAATTTCTGTTTTGGTCAGAGATGGCAAAAGTACTCACTTTCCGTACTTGAGTAAAAGTACAGATACTTGTGTTAAAAAATACTCTGATAAAAGTGGAAGTACTGATTAAACTTCTTTACTCAAGTAAAAGTAACAAAGTACAGGCTTGTAAATTTACTTAAAGTATAAAAGTAAAAGTAGAAACACCTTTTTCATGCCGTTGCCTACATTTTAAATGGATGTCTGCCAATAGGACTACATCTCCATTGTGTTCATTTTCAATCATCTCGTCGTCCATGCTACTATGCTAACGCCACCGCCACCAAGCTGCAATGATTTGCCGCGAATGAATACCGCCAAATCTGTCGATTCATCTTGTAGTGGTGCGTCAAATGCAACGTAGATTCCCATCCAATTAGATTGAATTTGGTATTGATGACGTGAAAAATAATAACGGTAACTCCATTGAAATGATTCAAAACTAAAGTAACGAGCCAATTTTTAAAAATGTAAGGAGTAGAAAGTACAGATATTTGTGTAAAAATGTAAGGAGTAGAAGTAAAAAGTCGCCATAAAAATAAGTAGTAAAGTAAAGTAAAAATATCAGGAAAATCTACTTGAGTACAGTAGGTTTTGGTTTTGTGTTTTTACGTCTTTTTTGTGTTGTATTCTGCTTTTCCTTAAACTTTGTTTTATACAACAGTTTTTTTGGTCTGGTCCTCATTCAAGCTGCAGCCATCAGTGATATAATGACTGTCACTATTGCAAGTGGCATCAGTTCTAAGACTTTGACCTCCAATCTAATGGTTGTTTTTGGTTCAAGACCTGTCCCGCTGGGGCGAATGAGCTAGCAGTGTGGGTCCTTAGGCAAGACCCTTCATGCTAATGTTTACTTTGTAAGTCACTTTGGGTAAAAGCATCTGCTAAATGCATAAACAACAACTTAATCATCCCATTCTGCACATTTTATCCCACAAATAAAATCTAATTTCTTTTGAGTGGTATTTTATTTGATAGATCAGGGCAGTCTAATATGTAATGAAAGTACATTAATAGTGCATTTATTTAGTTTTTCCTTCAAAAAATATATATATTTGAAAGGTCTGTAGTGTTGCAGCAAACAAAACGCTGTTCTGTGAAGGTCTCGAAGCAGCAATAGATTATAAAACATATCCCCAGCTTCTAAAGTTTTACTGAATACTTTTCTATCCGGCTTCGAAAAAAAAAAGATGTCAGCACAACTGCAACAAATCAAGACTATCCACCAAAATGTCAGGAGGAACAAGAACATTAATAAGGGGAGCTGCTAAGAGGGGCATGGTAACTCTAGGGAAAGTGCTGAACCTTTTGGTTATACTCTTCACATGTCAGCCTTTTAGGGAAGGATCTCAAAGAGTCTTTGTTGGAAATCATAGTTTAAAGTTACCCATAGTTTAAATATTGAATCATGGAGGAAATATACAAACACATGATGTAAATCTGTTCTCTGCAATTGGATAGATCAGGTTAGATCTCTACTGACCTTAGCAGGTATTCTGCTCATCCTCAGAACATGCTTGTGAGTTTAATGACACTTTTAATGATTGAGAATATATGTGGTGGTGTTGAAGTTACTTGTTGTTTGTTTCTTTGTGTTGTGATGTTTCTTAATATCAAATAGGTTAGCTGCTGTTTCTATATCTTTAAAACCACTGTTACGCCCCCAAGGTCTAGGGGTCTTGGGGAAGCAACATAAATAACGTCTGGAGTAGTTCGGGGGAAGTTAAAAATTATTTATTACAAAAAAAAGATGGTTAAACAGCCCCAAAACACAATATAGCTTAACTCAGTTAAAACAAAACAACAAAAAAGGTAAGGGCAAACAGATTCAAGATTGGCTGAGAGCAAATAAAATTACAAACTGCCCAAAAACAGTCAGACTAAGTTTTAACACAAAAACAAACCAAATGAAAAGACAAAGGGAGCACCAAACCTCCCAAACACAAGCTACTAGCTTGAACAAGTCCACCTAAAGCAGACTAAGAAAAGTACATACAAAGCCAGGGCAAAGAGCTCTTTCTTCCCAAAAACAGATGCAAAAACAAGATGGGGGAACAGCTTAACAAAACCTTCCTAATAGCTGTCCCCCAAACTGAAAGCTTTTCAGGAGCCTTTTATAAGGTGCAGGTGGGCCTCATCAGCACACTGATTGGCTTGACACTCTTCTGCTGCTCCAATCATGTCACTGCAGTCCTCAGGCAGCCACCAAGGGAGTTCTGTCAGAGCTGAACCTGCATAAGAAAAGGCCTGCACAGTCTTAAAAGGCCAGGGGCCGTAACACTCCCCCCCTTAAATTACAAAACCAAGTTTTGTATACATTTTGTCCATCTCAGGGGGTTAACTGATGAAATATTTACATATAAAATTCCTACTGTAACACATCAAGACATGTAATGCTCCTTTAGATAGGGTAAAGTGTGCCTCAAAAAAGTATTTGTTTTTCAGCCTTGCGTCAGTTTTATTGGGATTTTATGTAGAGATGCACTGATCCAGTTTTTTCCAATCTGATACCTGGGCCGAGCGTATCGGCCGATATCCAATATTGATCCAACTGAACCGCTGATCAGATGAACCATAAAGCTGGCCATGTAAGTAAAGGCTTTAGTATATAAATAAACAATGTTAAAATAGGTAACCAATTGACAGTGTTCTAAATAACAAACAACAAAAGAGTGAGAAGGGAAATGTACTTTATAGTATTAATTAACAAATAAGCAGCAAAAAGAAAGAAAGAAAAGCTCCATTTAAAGTGCAATCATTGGATTGGATCTCTGACATCTGACATCAAATTGCTGATACCAGCTAATTCACCAATATCCTAGCCAATATGAAATTCAGGTATTGGATCGGTGTATCTCTTATTTTATGGGATTTGTATTGATCCTTTTTCAGAAGACCTACCTTTTAATATAGTCAGACCTACCTGTTTTTAGAGTTATGTCTAAGAAAAAAATACATCTTTGCATATCTAAGGACTGAATATCCTGCTTTCCTGCAGCAAAGCGAGCTTCCACTCCAGTCTCAAGTCTTTTGCAGCTTCTGGCAGGTTTCCTGATTCTCCTGTAAACCATCTGATGGAAAGCATCCTCATTCATGATGCTTCCACCACCATATTTAACCGTTAGTGAAATATGGTGGTTTGTTTGTTCATTTTATTTCCAGAAAAACAACCTCTAATGCTTTTTTTTTTTCAGATTTTTATTCATTTATTGAAAAGACTGAAGATACATATGCATGTATGTTATTCCTGTTCAACACAGGTGTTAAACAGTAGATCAGTGCAAATAACTGAATTATAAAGAAGGATAACTGGGTGCACAAGTCTAAATAAACACAACTAAATATGAATAAAAATCCATGAATTCAAAATACATTTATCATTCACAGGTATTATATGGACAAAAAAAATGGATGGGGCTTCATGCCACAGTCAGTTTTCAAAATTACCCATAAAAGATTAGGAAACATTTACATATTTTAAGATGAGCTGTATGAGATGTAGCTGAAATGCGACCATTTTTTCTTCTATTGAATTTTATAGATATAGTAGGTGCTGCCTTCCCACATTTTTTCTTTTTATTTTTTTTTATGAATTGAAGCTGTTAACCACTTTGTGCTTCCTGTAGACTCTTACCAGCAGCCCCCACCCCCCTCCCAGGTTTTGAACATAATCAATAATTAAGTATCTGCCTGAAGCTACTTTTAGGAACAAAATAATTCTGTAAATTTATCTATAAATCTGAGGAATCGCAGTCAGCAATGTCAACAAGCACACTGCAACCTATCTAAATAGGTTGCTGCAGCAAAACCTTGACACCTCCCAACTCTATACTTTAACATTGGCATGAGAATATCTTCTATGAATGCAGCATTTAGTTTAAACTAAACCTCCTCTCTATTCCTGCGATTCAGTATTACTCATTTGTACAAGTGATTTTATTTCAGATTTCTTGGTATTTGGTATCTCTTTTTTTGCTTTTTGGGAGAGTGAAGATTATAATTTACACACCCTTTATGGAATTACCTGACCAAAAAAATAAAATAAAAACTGATTCAAGCTTAAATTATGGGCACACTTACAGAATAAATTAGCTTCCACTCAAAATATAAGACTGTATTAACAAAAATAATGTATCTCCAAGTTAAACATATTTCATTTAACAATTCTTGAAACTCAACTTATTCGCAATTATGTAAATACACTGCAAACAATGGAAATCTAAATAAGTCATTTTTGCTAAAATTAAGTGCATTTTTTCTTTAATTTAGGAGGTAAGTGAGTCACTTTGCCAATGGTGTATATTAAGTGTATATTTTCTAATTATCTTATTTTAGGAGTAAAAATATTAATTCCATTGACAAAGCATCTTATTTACCTGCTCACATTAAGGTTAAATACACTTAATTTAGGACATTTTTACTTATTTCTAGATGTTGCAGTGTATAGAAAAGAAATAAAAATGGCTTAAAAAAAAAAAACATAAATAATAAACTGTTGCAGTAATATCCCAGTAATTGGAATGTGTTTGAACCAATTCTCTATGCAAATCAAAGGAAATAAATATAACATGATTTAGTCAAATAATGTTTTATTAAATCATTTGCTTAATCAGATATCAATTAGAGTTTTGACTATTTGTTCTTAACCTTCTGTGATTATTCCTGAGGGAATAAATAAAAGTAAGGACCACCTAGCTTCTTTATCTCAGTGTGGTTTGGGGCAAAACAGTGGAGCTACTAAGATAGTACTTGTTTTAAAAGGGAAGACATGTGGGGAGTCCCAAGTTGTTTTTCACCATAATTCAATTTACCTATCACTTTAACTTAAAAATCTTACAAGTCTTATCTATTTTTAAATCATGGTTTGGTTTTATTTTACTGGAGTAAGTCCACGTCTATGAGGGATGGGCAGGTTAGAAAAACATACAGGTTGTTTGAAACATTTTCACAAGAATGTTTTGGCCTAAATACTCAATAATTTTAACAAAAAGTAAAACAAAACTCCCCTAGAGTTACATTGTTTACATTAGTTTTGCAATTATGCCTAATTTAAGTATTTAATGTTTAACAAAAGAATTATGGCATATACAAAATATGTTTTACTTTGACATTCCTTTAAACAAAAAAAAAAGCTTAACTTTTATATTATAAATTGAATATTTTCTATTGGGTAAAAAAGCATAAAATGTATTGAAGTTTTATTTCATTTTTTTTCAAATACATTAAAGAAAAATATTGGTACATGTTTTCATTGTCACTGCATTATCTTACCTTACAGAACTGCATAAATAAGCAAGGTCATAGGTGTTCACTGTGTTTTTGTGGTTCAATCTGAAAAATTCACACTAAGAGTAAAGACAATTAGGAGAAATGTATTGATACAATTACTTTTTCTTTGGCGCTCAGACCTCGGCAGCAAACACAGCACTTAATTTTGATAGATATGCATGAACAAAGCAATGAATAGGGCAGTTTCCCCCCAGACCTGAAACTGGTGGTTGAGTGGAGAGGAAGTTGGTTGGTCTGTTGACTGTTGGTTAGAGAGATGGTATGCTGAGCTTTATGGGGAGATCCAGTGGACTGCGTGAGCTGATACTAGAGCTTCACTCAGGGACCTGGAAGATGGAAGTCCAGTTGGATAACACAGGTTGACAGAAACTGTCCATGATGAGCAAGCATGAAGCGACTGTGGAGAGGAAAAACTGCCTGTTGGGAAGAAACCTCTGGCAGAACCAGGCTCAACATGGCGGTCTTCTGCCAGACCGGTTGAGATGAGACAGGGAACGCAGTAAGAGTCTTGGAGGAATGAAACTCTGATGAAGCTTTAGCTACGATGGTGGAGGAGGGGCTGGAGGTTGTTTGAAACGGGGTCATCTGAATGAAGTTACACAGCGCATCCGCCGCCCGCGCACAGGAGCAGACAAGTGAGATTGGAGGCCTTTTAAGATGAACTTTGGATGCTGATTGGCTTTCGTGGAGGTGTGGTTCAAAGCTGATTGGCTGCATCACAGGTGGATGTAGGAAAGCAATTAGTTTCTTTAGATGATCTTCTGCCTAGGCTCCATGTCATAAGATAATGCCACCTTATCAGCGGTCAGTACTGAACACTTGTTGTAAAAAGGTTTAAACTAGAGAAATTAAAAGTTACTGTTGTAAATTACAGACTTAAAAAAGAGTGAGGAATTCCTTTCCATATGACTGTGGTGCAGGATATGGGGTTTCTTGTGTAACATATATACTGAGGGGTTGCATGGCAAGCACCACCTTTTGTCAGTGTGCCTCATTGGAGTTGTGGCTACAATTACCACCATCAGGGTGTGAATGTGTGTTTGAATAGCTGAATGACTGGATGTAGTATAATGCACTTTGGGGCTCTTGGATCCTTCTAAATGGCTATATATGTCCAGTACATCTACTATTTTTGAGCTCTGCTGGCTTAGGCTAAGGCTTATGTAAAATCTAGATTATATAACCTTCCGAAAACTTGGATCTAATTTCCTTGGATGATGAATATATTGCAGAAGTGTTACACACCGACATGTCTGCTTTTATCAGTAAACAGTGTCACAAATGTATCTTTTTGCAATCAGTGGGCTTGGCTTAACCTTGGCATGCCTCTGCTGCCAATAGATGATCTGGACTCTTCTTGAGCTGCCCGGCAAAGACATAGGCTCAGGCTCTGCACCACTGACAAGTAAACTAACACTTATCCTCTGAGTGGTTGCCATTGGTGATGGTAGTTTGCAGCATCATGTGAATTTGGAATCTGTTCATGTAATGGAAATGTAAAGGAGCTTTCAACAAGAGGCTGGAGAGGGGTCTGCAGCGGGGCTCTCCATCATTCACAGCACAGTTCAGACTGATTACACAGGCGCTGGGTGATTGATACATTCAGCAGCCCGTCTGCCTTTCCTCCAGCTCCTTATCTCCTCTGTCTGCAGGGCTGTTGAGTTTACTGTATGTTTGGTTTGTTTTTAACAGAAATTAATTCCTTTGTTGTCCAGCATCCAAATGCAAGCCATGTAGCGAGTCATGTGGGAATCCTAGCACCCAGCTTAGTGCCCAGACTCCCAGTGGGATCGGCTCTTCGTCTTCATTACCTCCAGCCTCCATCACAGAGGATGTATTCACTGATAACACCAGCGATGACCAGGTAAATTGTCTCCAACCTTATTATTCTTCCAACTAAATAAACTACAAAATACAGTTTTCTCAGGTTCAAAACACTGACTCTATGATGGTTTTAAAATTACAAATGTAACACATGCCAACATTATATACACTTAACTATACAAATATATTGTGGGCCTAAACTTTAAAGATTCAGAATAAGCTGCGCTAAATTGGACATGCTAATTAAGTTTTTTAGGACTTGCAAAATAGAACAGAATAAAATTCAACTTTAGGATCATTACACTGTCACAAGTACAAAGCAACAATATATAGTTTGCATGTACCCAGAAGTTCTATACAGGATATAAATATTTAATTTAAAAAGAAGGAGCGTTGCAGGTGATCTACAAAGATTGCCAGCATCATTGGTTCCTGCTCATTAAAATGAGCAGATTGCATTTGCTGAGTGTGGTTGCAAATGAAATATGGGGTTTAAAGAAATGAGACTTATCTAATCATATCCTTTCCCTGAAGAGTCTCATACTTGGACATTGCTTTAATTTAACACTAAGTTTGTTCCATACTTTCACACCATTTATTGAAATGCAATTCTTTTTATGTGCATTGAAGCACATACAGTTTTAAAGTTTAGATTATCCCTGTAATTATACGCTTTCTCTAATAGCTCTTTTATAATTTAGGCAGGGTAAATTCAATTAACATTAGAGAATGTGTAACACTTAATAAATCATAAAATGTTTAGATTAACTAATAACTGCAAAGCTTTTTGATAGTTTGATCTTGGATGTGAGGCCCCAAGCAGACCTTGTAGTGAATAATCACACCTAGGAATTGTATTTAATTTACTCTTTCTACATTTACCTAATCTATTTTGACTTTGATATCAAGATTTCCTAAATAATTTCCAAAAACATGAACCCTAAATTGTCAAAGTTCAAGTCTTAATTTAAAGACTTATGTTTAGCTCTTTTGTGATATCATCAAAGAGATGCTCTAAGCTCTCAACTGTACAGGAAATAATTGTATCATCTGCAAACAAATCAATATGTTATACTTTTAAAACCATAGAAGTCTGTAACTTATGTAGAGAATAAAAAGTAGAGACCCCTGGGGACCACCAAGCCTGTCCAAGCATGACCACAGATAAACCCCCATTTTGACAAACTGTTGCCTGCTGCTAAAAATAGCTCTTTATCCACTCCAGATCCATCCTCTTTACAACCTAATGCTTTAATTTCCTGATGAATATATTCTGATCAATTGTCTTTTTTTAGATCAATAAACCAACAAATTTCAAACTTCTTTTTATCAATCCATACTTACCCCCAGAAAGTACTTTATGTTTATTAATGAAATGTTCCAATCTACTGATAGAGTGTTTCTAAAATCTTGAAAAAACTGTAGAAGTATAGAAACAGAACTATAGATATATATAATGCAGAGTTCTGTTTACCATATAGATTGCTCCCACAGTCTGCCCTTTTCCAGTGTCTCCTTCACTAAGCAAAATGTGCACTAAAGGCACACTGGATACGCATTAAGTGCAGCAGCGGTGAGCACTTCAGATATGACTCTGATAAAGCACAGACAAAACTGGCACTGAATGGAGTCATAAGAAGCGAAAAAGTTTTCTTCCTGGTTTTTAACGTGCAGCTCCAGACAGCTCCAGATCATAAGCAACAGGGGAGGGATTCATCATCGTAACTTATATACTGTAGATATATATATATATATATATATATATATATATATATATATATATATATATATATATATATATATATATATATATATATATATATATATATATATATATATATATATGTATATATATATATATATATATATATATATATATATATATATATATATATATATATATATATATATATATATATATATATATATATAATGTTATATATAATGTTTTCTATGTACTCATTTGTTATCGTCTTTTACATGTTTTTGGTCTATTTTCTCTTTGCATGATGGTGCAGGATGCATCTTCAGTAGTCAGTGACTACGACTGTCCCTGTGTGGAAGCTGGCAGCAGCCTAGAGGACCTACAGGGCCTCAGTTCCTCCCTTAGAGACTCGGAATATTTCAAAGACCTGCAGGGAGAATCAGCGGCTATTGCATCATCAGATGCCTCTACATTACCTGAGAACAACGCGCAGCAAACTGTTGACTCACAATTCTCCGTAAACATTAATTCCCAGACCAATGAGCAACTAGCAAACACACCCCTGGCCACAAACTTCCTACAGGTCAATGCAACATCATTTCCTTCTTATCAGCAACTTGCAGATGAACCTTCCTTTCAAAGCGGTGTTTCCCGGCTCTCTCCAAAGCAGAGTTTTACTGTCGACAGCAACGACTTCCCGGATTCTGCACTTGGCCTGAATTGGACACTTAAACTAAATGGACTTCTAGGATCCATGGACACAGTGGATGCAGTCACAGAGCTGGACACGATAAAGGACACAGGCAAAATGGAGCTGGATGGAGAGCCAGACATGGACAGCTTTCCCATTTTGGTCAGATCCATGTCAACGTCTCGGAGGCACAGCTGGGGGGTCCCTCTGTCACCCCTCAGTTCTGCTAGGAGGTAAGATGAAAAACAATTGGCAAAAAAGGATGAGAATAAAGTGTTAAAAGTTTATCTTTATAGTGCATCATAAACTGAAATTATTTAAGTTCATTATTCAAAAATCCATGTTCTGAGTATATCTTAGACTCCTAAAATATTTCTCCATATCATCATCATTTTATCTGGTGTTATTAAAGTAGCTTGAAATAATATTAGGTGATTAAAATAGATGGAATAATTAGAATCTTCAACAGTTTTGTGTGATGTCTTGTGTTTACTTTGTCAGACTGAGTCTAGACACCGCAGCTATAGACAGCGATGAAGAGCGTGACGATGATGAAGAGCAACAGAGGAGTCTTTTCCAGTCCTGCCAGCAGCAGTCTGACAGCTTCTCAGCAGGGCCTGGAGATGAGCCAGATGGTTTCAGTCTGAGGGTAAACAGATGCTCTTTAACCAACTAAAACGGCTTTTATTATCCTTTCTTAATGCCAGTTTTAGGCAGGAATTTCATTCGTATGTCCTCATCCTAAAGAACTACAACAAATTCTGCAAGAAAAGATTTACTTCAAGTTTTGATTTTCCTTTATTCAGTCAGTTGAGGTTTAAATGCATATAATTTTCTACAGAGGTTATAAATTGCCACTGTGTAGAACAGTCTGCAGCTACTAAGCTAAGGAAAACTATTTCCTAAAGCTATCTCTACTTCTTTTGAGTGGACTACGATCACGAGAAGTTTGAAGTTCTGCTGCTATTGACTGCAGAAAGTTAGCAGGATTTTTACCTGACCTACTGCCTCATGCTGTAGTCCAGGGATGGACAGCTCCAGACCTCAAGGGTCGGTGTCCTGCAACTTTAAGATGCGTCCTTTACAGTCAAATGGTTTAATTTCATCCTGAGAATGCAGGTTCTCAAGAGTCCCGGCAATCATCTAATTATTTATTTCAATTGTGTTGAAATAGGGACATTTCTAAAAATGGTCCTAAAATAGTCTGTCCCATCATCCAAATAGCTTTTACTGTATAGTAACACCACAAACAGTCATCTGTGCAACATTACTTGTACTGCTGGACTCATCGCATAGGTGTTTATTAATCTGGTCATGGAACCACGCTGGATGCAGTAGTTTTGGTGTTGTTGCATGCAAAGGTAATAAAAACAAGGACTTTAATTATTCTTCTTTTTAACTTTTGTGTACATTTTTTAACTTGATAAACTTGAGTCCTATATGGCCCCTTAATGTGTGTTTGCCATGATAGGATTTTCTGCAGAAGCCCTGAGTTCGATTATCTGCCTTTGTACACATCTTAATACATCACAATTGCAACTTGAAAAATTCCTGACGCCCACTGCTTTCTGAGCCCTAAACGTCTGCCTCATAATGTGACACCCTGCCATAAATCACCTTTCGTAGCTTATGCGGCATTTTTAAAAGCTAGGAATCATTGTAGATGAAATCTTGCTTGTTTTAGCGGCTTGCTCCTTCATTTAATCCTTCTCTGTAAAAACCCTCCCTTGCAATAAAACATTATATGCACTTTTAAGAGAAAAATGGCCACAGGATGACTGCAACACAGAATTTAATACCAAATAAGTCCACAGTTAGAGGGGAATTGATAAATTTGGAGTATTGTGCCAAACACAGAGGTTCCTTACTACAAAGACCAAAAATGACTAAATGCTGTGCAGATTAGCAGCTAATAAAGGCCACTGTAAGCATAATTAATCTCAATGCAGTACTTGTTGTAAACTGGGAAGTGGATGAAAAACAGATCAGTTGTACATTAGTCGTAGGGGTAGACCAGGCGCATTTTTATCATGTCATGGTTGCAGCATGTCATTTATTTCCCCATCCGGAAACAAGCTAGCGTGATGATGTTAATACTGCACATTCAAGTAGTTGGAAGTCTGTCATTCCAGCAAATAACAGGCAGATTATAGGAGTGGTACTGTTTTTTTTGCTTTTATTTTTTTACTTGAACCTTGTTTTTGTCATACCTCTGTCATTTGTTGTTATTAAGCACATGCACACTTTATAATATATAGAAAAATAAATAATCCAATCATATTGTTAAATGCAATTATTAGTTATTAAATGGATAGTTGTCATTAATTGTCATAGACCTCAGTAGATAATAGGGCATTAATGTCATTTTAATGGTTAGGTATAAAAAACTCTTGCATTTTCCACAATTGTGGTTTTCCACAACAGTTTTGGAAGCCCAGTTTTCCTTAAAGTACATTTTGCATAATAAATGCAGGAACAACAACTGACTAAATAAAAGTTAATAATCCATTCTTCGTGTGTCAATGAAAGCCTATCATATTTTAGATCAGTTTGAATCTTTAAAATCTGCATATAAGGCTTACCTATATGTGCAAGTATATAATTGTCAGCAAATAAAAGCTGATAAGAAATACTGCAATATAACATATTTTTAAGAGATAAAAATGCGTATAGTAATCATTTTATTAATGGCGATATACACTGTATTTGTGATATGTTGCAACCATTCCCTAACAATGTTGCAACTGTTTCCCGGCTCAAGGCTGGTTGCAACATCTGATGCTTTGCATTGAAATGTAAATTTTAAAAAATATTTTTTCTGTAATTAGCTTTAAATGGTTCAATCCAATCCATTCCTCTTTCAGGCCATGGGTAGACCTAGCAGGCAGCTGTACTCTCGATCGGAGATCCTAGCCACTGATGACTATTCCCGAGCTGCACACATCTCTCGTGTCGTCCAGACATCCAAACAGGCCGCCAGGGCAGCAGGAGGTGTGGGAGGCAAACGAATGTTTGCTTTATATGGCGCCGTTTCATTTCTTATTTTTAACCTTTTTTTCATAGTAATATTTGATTCCTCCCCACCCACAGTGGCAGAGGAGTTTGACCCAGAGGAAAATCTGCACTCTACAGAGGGACAAAGCCACATGTAAGCATTCATCATAATCAATCATATCTAACTGAAACAGAATATCTCCTCTCCAGAATATGCATCTGTCCTTATAGCAGCACGATGGTTGAAAGACAATGTGTCTGTGCAGCCCTTGAGTGCCTCATGCAGAAACTCTTCAGTAATGTAAATAGTCTTTTACAGTTACCTAACTCCCACATAACAGAGGGGCTTTCCCCGTTCTCCCCTGAGATTTCTGCTCCATATCAGACTTCTGCAGTTTCCCCTCCCACAGCTCTCTGTTCTTTAGCTGCCAAGATGGCCCCTTGCTAAGTGAGAGTGTCTGGGTGTAATAAATGGTTGCGCTCTAATGGCTGCACGGATGCAGCAGATGAAGGAGAATCGTACTTCATATCACAGTGTGGCACTCAGTTCCCATCAGTCAGGTTGTCCTCTCTCCCCCCGCTCAGTGTCAGTGTCTTGTTTGCCTTAGGTTGATGGTACAGAAAGTTCTGCAGGAGCTAAAGCTGTACTATGGGTAAGTAAACAGGAGAGGGAGGTCTGCAAGCTTTGGCTGCTGCTCTATCATCTCCAGTAGCAGAGCCAGCGAGTGTTTACAAACTACACTAGTGTATGCATTATTTTTGCACATGGGGTTGCATGTCTGTTCTGGTCACTGTCACAAACTGTACGTCACCATGGCTGGAAAGGATCTGAAGAGCACAAGAAAATGAGACGATCAGCTGCCAAAAGTTCACAGCAACATAAATCTGCTTATGTTGTCACACTATGCTTGTTTTTCTTGTTCTTATAAACGCTGACTTTGACATGCTCATCTCTTACGGTCATTTATGGTTTTAATTTGGACCTGCCTTCTGCTTAAATGGATGCTCTTCCTGCATGAAGTTTTCAAACTGTCCTTCACAGAGCAAAGCACAGAAACAACGGCAATCCAGATGCCAAAGATTCAGGAAGTGTCACCTGGTACGAGTTCCTCTCCAAGGAGTAAGTACAAACGTTTGGCAATTAGGTTTATAACTTTCTTTTCCAAACAATGTCTGTTACTCTAAATCAATTTATTAATATTAAATGATCCAACTGTTGGGATCTGGAGGATCTTCAGGAGGCCACCTCTGGTAAACAGCGCTCAGTTGCATACAAACGGAACCAGAGAGGCAGGAACTCACGCACTATATTTTCAGTTAAGCTCAAAATATTTGCAACCCCAACAGATTTAGGTTTGAAATAGTTCTTATTCATGAGAATAGCTGTTCTGAATAGTGAATTCTAAAAGCAAAAACAACAAGAAGAATATAGAAGTTGTATACAATGTTTTTTTTTTTTCCATTTTAGCAAAAAAAAACTTTAAAAATGATAAATCTTTTGAAAAATGAATGGAAGCACCTTCCTCCAAAATGAAACCCTTATTTTTTAACCAGCTTTTTGCATGTATTTTGATGATTATTTGGTAAATAATGGCAGCCTCCTTTCCATCAGTCTAATATTTCACAGATTCTCTATTAAATTCATGTCGAGACCTTCAGCTGGGTTGGTCCAAAACATTTATCTTTCTTACAGTCAGAGGATATGTATCGGTAAAGTTAAATTATTATTTTAAACTCAACTCTGGCAGGGGTATGAATCATATAGGAACTGTAGATGTTAGCAGATAAGCTCACACAATTACTTGCACACATAAGAGTTAGTAGAGAAATGGCTTTGCTATCCATATGTGATTAAGATACATTTAGTTATTTTATGTTGCCGTCATGGATGCAAAACTTCCTGTTTTTTTCAGTTTCAGTTTTCTTGTTATCTTGGTGTTTATATAATTGCAGTTTTCTGTCAATTACTGTAATGTAAACTGTTGTTTATCATGTCACCATAACATTAAATAGGAGAGAGAAATTAAGAAGGGAAACTGTGCAGCTCTTGGTATATTTATATATTTTCAGACTAGTTTCATGATGCTGCAGGCAACCAGTACAACCAAACTGTTTGCCTTAGTTCAAGAAGTAAACATGGTCGGTAAATCCTACTTTTTTAGCTTTCTTATGAGACTAGTGATTTATTTTCAATGAATTATTTGGATTGTATGAGACTTAAGCAAAAAAAAATTAAAAAATAAAGGGACCAACGCGTATCCTCATAAACTGAATTAAACCTTACAGAGCCACAAGCATTTGGTAAAAAGTATAACAAAATCTTCTACAGAATGAGAATTTTGTAGATAAAAATATTTCAGACATTTATTTTTTATCTGAAGCAATAAAAAATTGAAACATATTTCAGATTAATAAATTGTATACATGAAAACACACCTAAAAATATTCATTTAATTTAATATTATTAAATTAACTACTTTTTAAAGCTATTACTCATCCAGTATGAGTCTAAGTTACTTACATGGCTTATTTCAAATTGTTCATACATTGCTTCCTTTTATCTTTAGGAATGAGGAAGAGGAGGACCGAGCAGAAAAGGTTGAGAAAGGAACAAAGGTGAAAAGGACTCTAAGCTCCCTGAGGAGCAGGGTGACGGGTTCCTTCAATAAAGATAAGGTAAACAATGCCACAGATGATCGGTGCCTAAGCTGCACAACAGAAACATTTGTCTCATTGCAATATTGTAGTCCAGGAAGGTACTTTATGTATTACTGCCATGTAAACATTTGCATGCATGTGGCTTTCACAATATCTTAATCTTCTTACCTAAACCCTATTATGCCTCCTGCCTCTGACACATATGTGATGAGACATGCTGATGTGCAGCATGCGCAGCAACGAAGAACAAACAAAATTAGCATTTAAAAACCACCTTGTATGTGTGCTTCTCTTTTCTTGTCTCCAGGGTAAGCATCGAGAAAAAGAGCAGCAGAGAGAGAGGGTGAAGGAGAGAGACAGGGAGGCCAAAGAGAAAGTGTGCAGGACCGGCAGCCACAGCAACAGCAACGGGCATTATTTAATACCAGGCTCCTTCTCCAGTTCCGCCACCTGCTCGCTGTGCAGCAAGAGCCTGCAGAAAAAGCATGGTCTGCAGTGCATGAGTGAGTAACACAGTCACAGATGCACATTCACCCACGTTTGCTCACCGCATGACGCATGTTGGCAGGTGCTATGTTCACACACAAACCTGCATCTATTTATAACCCCTGTGCATGAATGCTTACTCTCCTATAGACTAGTTCACTCGGGGCACACGAAAAAAAAAAACTACCAAGCAGGTGGGTGCACCCATTACCACAAGTTGTTTGAAATATCATCAAACACCAGCCCACTCAGCAAAAAATTCCGTTGTCATGTTCAGCCTGATGTTTTCATAAAAGACATGAACACATGAAGTTGCTATGAAGATGTTTAGCATCTAAAACTTTTCAGCAAGATAGTGTCAACTGCTCAGCTGAAAAGAAACAAGGCCCACCAAAAACAACATGCTTTAAACATTAGACCAGGTGTGTGAGGTCTTTAACAATTCTCTGTCATAATCAGAGTTAAATATTTGTGTTTTATCTCACCCTTATTTATACAGGCAAATCTCTAATCTGAGACAAATTTGGTTTTGAATGCGGCTCGGTGAACGTCGCTCAAGTGTGAAGTGCTTTCACTTGATAGTTTAACTAGAAAAGGGTTTGATAACAATGAATTCAGTCATTTACATACAAGATAACAAATGATCTAAAAGAAAAACCGAGACACTGAGATCAAAACTTTCAGAAAACAAAAAAAACATTCTATGATGCTTCTTTTGTTGTTTAAGAGTGTTTAAATGTTACTCAAGTATTCCTACATTAACATAAACTGTTGTCTTCAACTTAGATAGGGAGAAATGTATTCGTAAGATTCTGACCAAAATGTTTGATATAAAATGCAAAATGATTGGTCTAATTTTAGGGACACCATTTTAAATGAACCCAGCACCACCCACCTGTGTATTATCAGCGTGTCAGTACATAAAACTCATAGATCATCTGCTCTTGTCCTAACTGCACAATTTGGTGCCAAATTGTCGACCTGCTGAGTGTTTTGCCTTTTAATTCAGTTTTATGGTGCATGGGTGGATCATTTGTCATACAAATCACTTATTCTGTTGAAAAACATCAATTGAATAAGATTCCTTTTTTTACTTCAAACTATTTCGTAATATAAACCTTCTGAGTATCTTGGTGTGGCCCAAATTTTTTAAGCTTTCAGAATTTTAATCAACTTAAAATAGGATTAACTCATTCCTCTATTTCCTCTAACTAATTTGCAACCAGAGGGTTGTCGGTTGATGCCCCAGCTCCGGCTTTCAGTGCCGTTGTGTCCTTGGGTAAGACGCTTCACCTGCATTGCCTACTGATGGTTGTCAGACAGCCCGGTGGCCTCAGTTTATGGCAGCCTCGCTGCTGTCAGTGAGCCCCAGGGCAGCTGTGGCTACAATGTAGCTATCCACCATCAGTGTGTGGGGATGGGTGAATGACTGAATGTGAAGCCTTTTTGGTCAAGTCCTCTGATTTGAAAAAGCGTTATATAAGTACAGGACATTTACCATTTATTCTCCAAAAAGTACAATATTTATCATTAGGAGATTCTACAAACTGAAAAAAAAACTTATAAAGTAAAAAAAAAAGCAGGAAGAAGGCTTTGGATGTAAACTATTAATGAGAGATTTTTTTTAACACCTGATTTTATTCTTTATTTTTTTTTATAATATGCCATGGCAATAAATAGCTAAATTATATTTACACTTTTGACAGATCATTACTAGGTATGCCAGTAACAGGGCCTTAAGCTTTTTATCTATCCCCTAGTAGTAATATAGTAATATGTTTTACTCCAAAAAGTCTCCCCCTGACTTCTGCTATTTGTCAATAGAATTTACTGGAAGTTGTACTGTTTTCTTATAAACCACGAGGTTTACTGTTGGATAATTTCACATCACTTAAAAGAACCAGGAAACAAGACTTTTTTTCTTTATCTTAAGTGGGCAGGTGCATGCAGAGAAGTAGATTTATCCTGCTTTCTGTTTTGGCTGTAATTAAATGTTTACCCTATATCATCTGGTTGGTTGCAATATTTCCATGATATGCATACATCTTGCAGCCTGGTGGAAGGGGATGTAATGAACGATTGTTTTTTAGCAGGGTGTTTATTAAACAAATGGGTTCTGGCATATTTCACAAGCCTCAAAGAAACCACACATGCGATAAATATGGAAGAGGATTAGGGCCACTGAAAAAAAAAAAAAAGTTAACTGATTCTTAAATATTATTTCAGTTTAATATGGGAAAAAAGTCAGGATTCTGTCTTTGATCTCAGAATTCTGATTTTGATCTCAGAATTTTGAATCTTATTGTAGATTAGCACCATAAAGGAAGAGATGTGGGAGCATGCAGCTTCACTGACAAAGATGTGAGTTGTTTGAGAGAGCCAGTGACACATTGGTGGAAAATGACGGAATTAGGCGACTTTTTACGTGCCCAAGGGGTCCCCGGTGATGATATTTAATTAATGGAAGAGCAGAAAGTGATTAAAACAAGAGACCTAGGTTAGTCTCTAAAACAGACTTGGCTACAGCTTGATGCTGACATGTTTGTTAGCTATCAGAATTTATTTAGAATTCTGAGATTAAAGTCAGAATTCTGAGATTAAAGTCGGAATTTTGAGAAAAAAGTCAGAAGTCTGACATTAAAGTCAGAATTCTGAGAAAAAAGTCAGAATTCTGAGAAAAAGTCAGAATTCTAAGAAAAAAGTCAGAATTCTGAGATTAAAGTTAGAATTCTGAGGAAAAAAGTCAGCATTATGAGAAAAAAGTTAGAATTTTGGGATCAAAGTCAGATTTCTGAGAAAAAGTCAGTATTCTGAGATTAAAGTCAGAATTCTGAGGGAAAAAAGTCAGAATTCCGAGAATAAAGTCAGAATTCTAACTTTTTTCTCATTGAAATCAGTTAACTTTTTAAATTTTTCAGTGGCCCTAATCCTCTTCCGTAGAAAAACATTTCTTTTGATTTTATATATTTAAAAATAAAAAAAACAGAGCAACGCATTTCTCCTGTTGAAACACTTTTCTATCAGTGTTTGTAAAAATGATGTTGGAACACACAGGCTGAGAAAACAAGTGAGTGTCCCTTTAATTCGAACCGTTCCCTGTGGGGATTCAGTCCGTGGAATGCGTCGTTAGTGTGCCAGAGATTGTTCCCAGTGGAAGCAGTAAAACTGGGGGAAAAAAAGAAAAATCAAGAATCTGGGACGTTGTTTGCTGTCTGATCTGTTTTGACGATGTGATTCACTGAGATTTGTGGCAGTTTAAACTTTCTTTCGGATGTTGCTGTCTCGGACCAAGGCGGCTGTAGCTGGAGCGGTAAGCAGCAGCTGGCGTAGCGGGATCAGGTGGATGAAGTCCCGTTGTTTCCCCTCACATCCTACCGCTCTGATGCTAACAAGCTACCAGCTAAACATATCCAACACAACACTTTTTATGTTATACTACTTTACCCCACCTGCAAATGTTTGTGTCTCAACTAGAATATACACTTTCATTATTTGTTTGGAAACTAAATGTGTTAACAACTAAATTAGACCGTTGCTAAGTCTCTGGCTAGCTGTTAGCAAAGCAATGCTAGCGCCTTAGCTGAGCCTTTATTTGATTAACTACGTTAGTTGGGTCAGTCGTTGGGTTTTATCGGCTTATTGTGAAGAAATGACGAAGGCTATTTCGTCTGTGTGAAAATGAAGAGATGTTGCGCGACTTCTTATAACTTTGAAGTAGAAAACAGCTTTCAGAGACAGCAGTTGATGCTGCCTATTGACTTTGGGAGAGGCTCAACAGGTGACTGCTAGCACGGCTAATCTAAGCTTCCTGATAACTTCTGTTGGTTTTCCTGTATTCAGATACAAAAATGTTCAACTAATTCAGATGAATGTGTTTTTGTAAGAGCTATGGGCTTATTACCCAGTGTTAAAACCATAAAAATAATGATTTATTTCTAGCCCTTCCTTACTACACTGTTTGCTCTCTGTATGTGAGAAATCTATTGTACGATGCTATACTAGGCGCTTTAATAATAGTAAAGTTTTAAAGAAGTGTCAAAACATTTGGCCATTTATACAGTTATGTATGTAAATTGAAAATGAAGTGCATTTTAGATTTTTAATACGGTTCTTATGATGATTTATCCAGTAAGAGTAAAAAATTCACAAAATTCATCCCAAAACTGTCATATTTTCTTCCTTATTTCCTTTTGTTGTAAATATTGCCATCATTTTTTTTAGTAATTCTTTGTGAACTATCATGTTTTTTTTTCCGGTGATTGTAATGAACTATTATTTACTTTGATTATTTTGAATAGAGCCATAAGGCCAATTGTTAGTGGGGAAATTATAATATGGAAAGCACTGGGGTTTAAAGAGAACTTGATTTGATTGAATAAATTAAATTATCCTGTCTGTTATGAAGATTTAATGTAAAAAAAAACAAAAAAAACAAATCCAGATTTTTTTAATTTCAGGATGGACTTGTTGGGTTTCTGTAGTTCAGAGTGTTGTCATCCTGTCCCTGTTTGTCCTTAGATGTATAGATAAACTGGCAGATTGTGCAATGGTGCTGTCAACAAAGATCTTTTTATTGTTTATAACAGTAGGGCCTGCCAAAATGTTTTACAGCTTGCATTTAGCCTAGTTTCATGCAGCTCATCTTCAAAGAGGGAGCGATTGCAATAAAAGCACATTTTATTGAAGTCATTATCGAATTTATATATATATATATATATATATATATATATATATATATATATATATATATATATATATATATATATAAATAATTAGATTTATTTTCAAGCCATATTGCCTTAGTTCAGTTCTGAAATTCAATCATAAAAAATATATATATATATTTATACCTTTAAGCTGCTAGTTTTTGAGTTTCTGTCATTTTGAAAATGGTACATTTTGTGCAATTTTACTTATATGCTCTTTAACTCTTGTAGAAAAGGACACCAATTTTTGTTTCAGTAAGAAAAACATGGGAGTAAACTTTATGGTATGATGTATTAAAAATCCCTGTCAC